AAGGAAGATCTTTCATCCGAAGATTCACTCCCCAAGTGAGCACACCAGCCAGTGCTGTGCCGATCCAAAGCCAGGAGTTAGGAGTTTCTTCCAGGTCTCCCATGTGGGTGTAAGGTCCCAAGGCTTTGGGCCGTCCTCAACTGCTTTCCCAGGCTGTAAGCAGGGAGCTGGATGGGAAGTGGAGCAGCTGGGATTAAAACCGGTGCCCATATGGGATCCCAGCATGTTCAAGGTGAGGGTTTTTAGCCATTAGGCCACTGTGGTGCCAGGCCCTCTTTTCTTTCTTTCTTTTTCTCTTTCTTTCTTTCTTTCTTCCTTTCTTTCTCTCTCTTTCTTTCTTTCTTTCTTTCTTCCTTCCTTCCTTTCTTTCTTTCTTTCTTTCTTTCTTTCTTTCTTTCTTCCTTTCTTTCTTTCTTTCTTTCTTTCTTTTCTTTCTTTCTTTCAGATTTTATTCATTTCACTTGACACAGTTATACAGCCAGGGAGAGGTAGAGAGAAGCAATCTTCCATCTTCTGGTTCCACTGGTTTATTCCCCAAATGATTGCAAGGGCCAGAGCTAGGGCAGCCTAAAGCTGGGAGCCAGGAGCTTTTTCTAAATCTATCGCATAGGTAGAAGAACCCAAATACTTGGGCCATCTTCTACTGCTTATCCATGCACACAGGAAGCTGGATCAGAGGTGAAACAGCCAGGACACGAGCCATTGCCCATATGTGATGCCAACACCACAGAATGAAGCTTAACTTGCTATGCCACTTCACTGTCTCCTGTCTTCTCCAGTCTTCCTAGTAAGAGAGCCTTCCCAGGGTTAACAACCTCTGAGCACCCAGGATACCATGAATGGGTGACATGGGCTGAGCATAGGAGGTCACAGGATCATGAGCAGGACTGTGATGAACCAGAGGAAGCCAGTTGCCCATCTGGAGGAGGAGCTTCCTGCCAGCTCCATTTGAAGCTGCTGTGTGAATTTCCTGTTATTGCCCTAACAACCTGCTGCAACCTAAACCCAAACAGGGGCATTCCCTTGTGTTAGGAGCTGAATGTTGCAGGCAGGCTACCAACTTCCTGGAGAACCTGGGGCAGCATGCGTTCCTTACAGTCTTCTTCCTCCTTTTTCTTCTAAGATTTATTTGTATTTTAAAGATAGATTTACAAGGGGAAAGGTCTTCTATCCACTGGTTCACTCCCCAAATGGCCACAACAGCAAGAGTTGAGCCAATCTAAAGCCAGGAACCAAGAGCTTCCTCTAGGTCTCCCATGCAGGTGCAGGGCCCCAAGGCTTTGAGCCATCCTCCACTGCTTTCAAAACCACAAGCAGGGAGCTGGATGGGAGGCTGAGCATCCAGACAATGAACCATATGGTCATATGGGATGTTGGCTATCGGAGGTGGAAAATTAGCCCATTGAGCCATTGCACTGGCCCAGTCTGTTCTGATCAGACCCTCTTGCCTATATGTACACTTGTTACATGGAAATGTGAGTCTGATAGGGCCAGTTTTTTTCAAGGTGGGTAGGTAAGAAACCTGGAATGGCACCCAACTATGTGGAAGAGGATTAAATGCCACAGGCCAATCAGAGCATGCCATCACCGCAAAGGCGGCTCCCAAGGCTGGCTCTGGGCTGCAATCCAAGGATTCGGTGTTCAATCACCAGCAGGAAAGGATGCCTCACTTTGCCTAGACTGTGTAAACCAGAAGGCTTATGTACAACACCTGCTTCTCTCCCAGGCAGTTAACCTTTAGCTTTGTGCTCAGCAGGGTTGCCCACAGGTCAGCCCCAGTAAAAGCCCTAAGGAGCTGCTAAGGGGCCTCTTCTGGCAGCAGCTTCCTTGCAAGGACTTGTTGCTGCATCTGAGAATGCTGGAGAAGCAGCACCCTCAGGGGGAGCCCTGTGGGAAGGTGAGGGCATAGGTGCCTCCAGATGCCTCATAGGGTGACCCACTGTGCCTCCTTACTACCTCAAGGTAACCAGTTGAAGCTGTGAGTGCATGGCATGCCAGGTCCCGGGAATCCTCCTGGTCAATCTTCCAACGTGGGCGTGGTTTCGGGGATACTCCATATGTAGACAAATCCTGACATTTCCACAGTCGATATGTTATGAGAGATCAAAGCGAAACAGAGGGCTTCTGAAGAAGACATATGGCCTCCAGTCTGCCAACTTTACTCTTCTTACTATTCTCCCCTAAATGCAGGCAGTTAAACCATTCCTCTGACATGCACCTGCATACCATGCATGCCAAGCACCATGTGACCAATTAGATGAATAAGGCTCAGTCCTTACTGTCAACAGCTTGCCACGTAGGCAGATGGCCATGCAAAAAGTCTAACTGCAGGGCCTGGCACAATGGCTCAATGGCTAATTTCTCACTTTGCAAATGCTGGTATCCCATATGGGTGTCAGTTCATGTTGTGGCTGCTCCACTTTTCTTCCAGCTCCCTGCCTACAGCCTGGGAAAGCAACAGAGAATGACCCAAAAGCCTTAGGACCCTGCACCCATGTGGGAAGCCTGGAATAAGTTCCTGGCTCCTGTTTTTAGATTGGCTCAGCTCTGGCCATTGCAGCCCCTTAGGGAGTGAACCAGTGGATGAAAGCTCTTTATCTCTGTACAATCTTACCCTGGTCTGCCTTTCCAATAAAAATTAAAAAAAAAATCTCTTTCCTTTAATCTAAGTTCAGCACAGAGTGAACCAAGTGCTCTAAAGACCAAGACAGCCACTTATATAGGGCACACACATGTCCTTAAATTCCTGAGGTCTTCACACCAGAAGTTGTTACAGCAGTTTTACAACAAAGAACCAAGAGGGATGGGCTTTTACCTAAGCTAGCTCAGGCCTCTAACTATATCCATTCTGCTCAGGGTTGGGGGAGCCCAAGAGAGAAATGAATGGGAAAGAAGGTGTGCCAGCCACCATGTGTCCTGGAATGACCACGGCTTCTGCCTACAGGAAGGCCCCAACCTCCTTTCCCCCCAGGCAGCCTCGCTGGATGCCCTTGTCAGTTTTGATTTTTATGAATGAATCATGTTCTCCCAACCAAATGGCAAATTTCCTCCTGGGGGTGAAGAGACCTTATCAGATTTCACTGCATTCACTTCTTATGCCTTTCCTTTCTTAAATGCCAATTAGCTACTTTGTTGGTAGAAAACTGCCATGCACCAGTGCTGATATGGAATGGTGCCAAGCTGTCAGGTGGCCCTGGCCTGGGGCGGCCAGAGAGGCAGGCGAAGCCTTTCCAAGTGATGACTAGTCTGGGAGACAGGTTTCTCAGTCACTCAGGGCACCGCCTGGTGGATTTCCCCAGCAGAGGGAGGTGGTTAGAAAGTGTTAAACAAGTTGGACGACACAGAAGCAGCCAGGCTTGTAAAAAATGGGAATGAAAGCAGATAGAAGAGTCAGTGTGTGGCTTAGCAAGTTAAACCTCAGTATGCAGTGCCAGCATCTGGGCATGAGCTGGGTCCTGGCTGTTCCACTTCCAATCCAGCTCTGTACAAATGCACCTGGGAAAACAGCAGAGGAGGACTCAAGCTCTTGGGCCCCTGCTCCAGCTGTTGCTGCCATTGCGAGAGTGAATCAGCAGCTGGAAGATCTCTCTGTGTGTCTCTCCTCTTTCTGTAACTCCAAGTTTCAAAGAAAACATTTTTTAATGAAAAGCAGAAAGATGTTAAGAACTTACATGTAATTTTAACATATTGTTTACTCAACATTATGTCAATTAATTCTGTAACGTTATATATTGTTGATGATGGGGCTTTTAATTGATCGGGATTTTACTCTTTTGGCCCTACCTTCAGACCAGAGAAGGTCTCCCCAAGAAGCGGTTGAACTTATCTGGACAATAAGATGCTGGACTCTATGTTTGGTATATGCTTACAATGAAGGAATTGCAACTGAACTTGAACTGTGGTTACACAATAAGGTGGAGGAATCCACCATGGGGGGAGGGTTAGGGGAGGGGTGGGGGGAAATCCCAGTACCTATAGAACTATATCTCATAATACAATGTAATCAATAAAGAAAAAAAAAAGCAGAAAGGAGTTGCGATGTGGCTTGCACCTTCATACATCTCAGATAGAAAGAGAAAGGCCACGTTAGCCGTGATACTAACACCTTTGACTTAAGAGAAACATATAAACATCGTGTCAACTCACTAGTCTACTCCTAGGATTGAAAAACTCTCCTCTTACTGGGTGAAAACGCCAAGGACTCGGTTACTAGTTACTTTCTCAAGGTCAAACGAGGCAGTCTGGATGAGAAGCCTGGTTCTGAGGGCTCCGGGGGCAGCCCGCCTCGCGGGCCAGGCGGCCGGAGGAGATGGCAGGTGGCGGGGCGAGGCTAATAGTGACGCCGCCGGTGACGGGCTCCCTGGCCGGTGGGCCGGCGAGGAGCAGCATATTCCCGGCGTCGACCCTCGCAGACGGGTTGCGGAGCTTAGTCTGCGGGAAAATCCAAGAGGGACGGGCACCCTGGGGCTCAGGCTGTGCAGCGCCCGGTCCTCGGTCGCCCTCAGGTGGGGGCGTAGGCCTGTTGAGTCGGCCGGGGACCCGCAGACGGCGTGTGGCGGGCAGGGGCTCCCCGAAGGCCGGCCGGAGCCTCCAGGAAGCGAGGGCGGACAGAGCCCCGGCGAAAACCAGCTGCAACCGTCTCGAAAAGTCGACATCAACCGCAGTCGGCCTAAATCAGAACACCTGGAAGACCGGCGCCCCCATGGGTCAGGTGCCGGCAAGGTGCGCCCCTTTACCGCACCCTACGTGCCAGCTGCGGACCTCAGGGACCCGGAGTGTCGGCCTAAAACGGGCAACAAAGGGTTAAAGTCTGAGTCGCAGCTCGGAGCCCCAAACCGACAGGTGAGGCCCCCTACCCGGCGCTGCGGGGGGGGGGGGGGGGGAGAGGAGCCCTGGCAAGCTTATTTAGGGAGAGGGCGCGGCTAACGGGATGCCGCGCCCCGGCAGGGGAGTGGCGCACACGGGCCCGCCCCTTGAGTATAAGAGCGGTGCGGCACTGCAGCTAACGCAGTTCTCACCGAGATCCGTCACCCAGACTCTACGTGAGACATAAAGCTCGGACTCACCATGGTGAGTGCGGCCCAGCCGGCTTCGTGTTCGACCCCGGATTGCTCCAGTCCTTCGGGGGACTCTCTTCTGCGGGGATGCTTGGAGCCCTGTACCTGGCGCTCCCGATCTGGAGGGGGTACAAGGGTGTCTCACCTTGCCCCAACCCCCGCTCCTGGCGACTTTGGCTAAGCTAGGATGGTCGCCTTCGCGGGGTAGGGGGCCGGGATGGTCACTAGCAAAGAGGGGCCCCCTAGCCACCCCTCTCCGGTTTCACCCAGCATGTGTTCCCCAATCGGGGTCACGCGGCCCCGCGCCCCCGCGCCCTCGCGCCCTGTCCTCTCTGTGGGCCACGATCTGCTTGGCTGCCCGCCCCCGCTCCCTGGGACTGCCCGAACGTGTGCTTGGCGCCAGAAGACGGAAAGGGGTCAGGGTCCTTAGAGGCGGGGCGCATCCCCTTTTCCTCTGACTGTGGGAGCATCCCTCCTCCCCAGAGCGGGCCCCCATCCCCCTCGCGCGCTTGGTGACTCAGCACCCCGCTTCTGGGCCGGGAGGGCTGGCGGGAATGGGGTTCGCCCTCGTGAGGCGCGCGGGCCCCTCTCCAGTGCTCCAGCCGGAGCGCAGAGTGCGTGGACGGACGGGCAGGCACAGTTGGCGCAGGAGCGACAGCCAGGTTGGGGGAAGGGAGGAGAGGTGTGTGTAGGGGGGAGGGAGGTATTTATAGCTCGAGAGCGGGGGCTGAAACCCAATCCCTACTTTTGGCTGGGATTTAACTGGAATGGCTCCGGAGGGAGAGCGGATGTAGGGGCCCCCAGAGTGCAGGATGGCCCTCACTCTGCCCCGGGGCCAAGGCAGGTTACTTCTGGGGCCTTTCTGCAGGTTCCGCTTCCTTTTCTGGGCTTTTAGAAACCGTCATCCGTGGCCGTTTCATTGTGGGTTGGGGGAGCAAGGGAGGCTGGCGGGTCCTGCAGACTTCGGTGCTTCGCGAGTTAACTGGGACACTAACAAGAGAGCGTAAGGCAGGAGCAGTGGCTCTGGGTGCCCACGCAACCCGCTGCTGCCCAACCCCTGCTTAACAGGATGGCTGCGATTTCCGTGGGGGCTGCCTGTGCAGTGGATGAAGGGGGTGAAGCCACCCCGGGGGCAGAGGCGAGGAGAGCAGCCAGATGGGACTGATTCCTCCCATGAACCAGATGGGTTTGGGGGGGGGGGGGGGGGAACACCCTGGTGGCCAGTGTTGGGGGAGGGCAGTGCTGATGCCAGATGGAAAGACTGACACTTCAGCAGCCTGCGGGCAGAAAGGGTTGTAGGGAATCCTAGTTATTCACCTGCAGAAGGATCCAGGATAAGCGAGGCCATGAACTCCATGCTCTGGAAGAGCTCCTGCCCCTTGCCAATCTCCAGAGAAGCCCCGTGTTTTTGGACAGCTGTGTCATGCCTGCAGTGCCTGCCTGTCACTGCACGTGTCCTCTCCGTCTGCCCTCCCTCTCCTGTGAATGCAGCAGGGGTCATGTGGAGCCGTGGCTCTTAATTGATAAGTTCGCCAGCATGAGGCTAACGAAGGGATTGGCTAGGCCTCCTGGGTGCCTGCCTTTGGGGTGTTCTGTGTGTAGGGGAGCCTGGGTAGGTTGCCAACCTCTGGAAGGGCATCAGCCAGCCTACCCTAAAATCCCATTCTTGGCAACAGTCATTTTGGCTGGTAGGTAACAGGGTGAGAGAGGATCCTGTGAGCTGAGAGCTTGTGGAGGTGGGAATTTATTACTGTCTCCTCTCTCTCTCTCTCTCCTTCAGCGCGAATGCATCTCAGTGCACGTGGGGCAGGCAGGTGTCCAGATGGGCAATGCCTGCTGGGAGCTCTACTGTCTGGAGCATGGGATTCAGCCTGATGGGCAGATGCCCAGTGACAAGACCATTGGTGGAGGGGATGACTCCTTTACCACCTTCTTCTGTGAAACCGGTGCTGGCAAGCATGTGCCCCGGGCAGTCTTTGTGGACTTGGAGCCCACTGTCATTGGTGAGAAGCAGGGGAGTGGAGGGAAGGGAATAGAACCAAGCTGGGGGTGAGGAGTCACTCAAAGCTTCTCTGGAAAGAATGTCTAGACTCTCCTAGCCACCCTCCCCCCATAAATTCCTAGCCCTGTTGGAAGCTGACCTCTGGGTTACTCCCTCCCCCACCCCACCCCCACTCTACTATCTCAGACTGGCAGGAGGATGAACCTTCCCATTCATCTGACCACAGCTGCCAGCCAGGGGAAGGGAGGTCCCCTGTGGGTTTTGACCCAACAGTGTGTGGTTTGTGCCCTGCCAGATGAGATCCGCAATGGCCCATACCGCCAGCTCTTCCACCCAGAGCAGCTCATCACTGGCAAAGAGGACGCAGCCAATAACTATGCCCGTGGGCACTACACCATCGGCAAGGAGATCATCGACCCAGTGTTGGATCGTATCCGCAAGCTGGTAAGAATTTGGCATGGGAGGGAGGGAAGCAATATTAGAGGTCAAGAACATTTTCAGATCGGTGACAGGGTATGATGCCCCTACAAGAGACTTCTCAGCTTTCGCTCTAATGTCCGAGATATCTTAGGCTTTATGGAGAGCCAGAGCGAGAGCTCCACGGCCGCCCCCTCCCATAGTCTCACATTGTTTTCCTTCTTGCCTTTCAGTCCGACCAGTGCACGGGACTTCAGGGCTTCCTGGTGTTCCACAGCTTTGGAGGCGGCACTGGCTCGGGCTTCACCTCGCTGCTCATGGAGAGGCTTTCCGTTGACTACGGCAAGAAATCCAAGCTGGAGTTCTCCATCTATCCAGCCCCACAGGTGTCCACCGCTGTGGTTGAGCCCTACAACTCCATTCTGACCACGCATACCACCCTGGAACACTCGGACTGTGCCTTCATGGTAGACAACGAGGCCATCTATGACATCTGTCGCCGCAACCTGGACATCGAACGCCCTACATACACCAACCTCAACCGGCTCATCAGCCAAATCGTCTCCTCCATCACGGCTTCCCTGCGCTTCGACGGGGCCCTCAATGTGGACCTGACGGAGTTCCAGACCAACCTGGTGCCCTACCCCCGCATCCACTTCCCCTTGGCCACCTATGCGCCAGTCATCTCTGCTGAGAAGGCCTACCATGAGCAGCTGTCTGTGGCAGAGATCACCAACGCCTGCTTCGAGCCGGCCAACCAGATGGTGAAGTGTGACCCCCGGCACGGAAAGTACATGGCCTGCTGCCTACTGTACCGTGGAGATGTTGTGCCCAAGGATGTCAATGCCGCCATCGCCGCCATCAAGACCAAACGCAGCATTCAGTTTGTAGACTGGTGCCCCACAGGCTTCAAGGTTGGCATCAATTACCAACCACCCACTGTGGTGCCTGGGGGTGACCTAGCTAAGGTGCAGCGTGCCGTTTGCATGCTGAGCAACACAACTGCCATTGCGGAGGCCTGGGCCCGCCTGGACCACAAGTTCGACCTGATGTATGCCAAGAGGGCATTTGTGCACTGGTATGTGGGTGAGGGCATGGAGGAAGGCGAGTTCTCTGAGGCCCGGGAGGATATGGCTGCCCTGGAGAAGGATTACGAGGAGGTGGGCATCGATTCCTATGAGGACGAGGATGAGGGTGAAGAATAGACAGCTGCCCAAAGCCTGTTCATTATGTTTATTACAAAATACTTTCAAAATAAAGTCTCCTTGCACGCTTTGGTGTCCGTGTGTGTGTTTAGCTTCTGCTGCTGCTTTCTTCTGTTGTCCTTATCAATTGCTTCTCATGACCCTTTTCCATCCTACAGCTGAGACCTGCGGATGGGCCTTCACAGGGCCCTGAAGTATGACCCTAGGGACCTTGAGGTAAGGTCTTATGAGCACTCAAGACAGGGAAAAAAATTTAGGCCCCATTCTTGCACCTGCCAGTGTTGCCAATCACTGTTAAGACACCATCTTCACCCTAAGCAAGAGTTCTTCTGTCTGGAAGTTGCTACTGTTTCCTGAGGCTTCAGCATTCACCAGCTCTGGAGGCAAAGGTTGGCTCAAGCTCCTCTGCCCATCAGAAGGATTTGGGAATGGGGCTGGGCAGGCCAGAGTTCCTGGGCATACCGCCAGTCATAAGCTTTGGGGGAGGGGGGTGGGAAGGAACAAGGGCCACCTCCTGGAGTTGTTTGTGCAACTACAATTCACAGCAGCTCTGCAGAGCTCACTGGCTGGCTGGTTGCTTTGCTCAGGCTGTGCCATTAAGTCAGGTTGTCTGCCTCTGTTTGTGCTTTCCTTCAGGCTTCAAATTCCAGGCTAGCTGGTGGAAGCCTTCTGCCCAGGGCCCCCCAGGGAAAATTTCAACCTTGCTAATAGGCACCCCAGGACCCACTCTGACGTCAGTGTGTGGAGGGGGCTGGGAGGCATGGCTTAGGGGAGGAAGTCTCCCTCACTAGAATTAGAGATGTCAACCCTACCCTTGGCTCTCCCTCCCTAGTGACAGGGACGCAGTGCCCTTCCCGGAGGAACAAGTTCCAAGCTCAGCTAAGACCAAGTCCCTGTTTACTTATCAGAGAAGGTAGGAAGTGGCTGCTGGGTTCTGCCATGCTACACTGGCCTCATTAATCATTAACCATGTGTGAGCCAGAACCTATGTGGGGGGGGAGGGGAATGGGGCACAAGCTCCCCACACACATCCCTGCCCCCAGGCTGAGGATGGGAGACCTGTTGTGTAGCTCCAGAGCTTCCTCAGGTGTCCCCACCCAAATGCTCTTACCTGGCAAACCGGCTGGGCTGCTTTGACTAAGCTACCCATCCCGGGAGTGAAGGAAAGAAGGAACTGGCTGAGAACTTTCAGGACACCCTGGCCCCAATTCTTGGCATAGGTGACAGACAGCAAAAGCCGCAGCAGCTTTCAGCTTTTGACTATGATGACACAGAAGAAATGCCCATGGCCAACTAGCCAGATCTAAGGTAAGAACACCTGTCCTCTTACTAGGAATGTAAAATCACACCAACTGCTGACTCTAAGGCTCCTCTTCCAGGCTGTTCTCTTGGAACCTTCTCTGTAGGAACACCGAGACTAAGAGCCACTCCGACCTGCTTCACTTTATTCTTCTGTTGATACATTTTCCTGCTCCCAGACTCGGAAGCAGAACATGATGTGAATTAAATAGTCATGCTTAGACCCACATAGCACATTCTCTCGGCGTCCCTTTTCCAACCTCGATGCCCACCCCTGAAGAAGTCAGGTCCCTTGATTGGGCTGGGGAATTAGGAACCCTGGGTGTTAAGAGAGCAGAGGAAAAAATATGAGATTGAGATGACTGTCCCCACCCCGGCCCCTAACTGTAGAAGAGTGATCCTGGATAGAATGGATGGAGATTCCAATGCAGAATAGGAGCCTCTTCCCAAGGCACGAGGGGCCACCTTCTCAGTGCAGCCACTGGACTGTTCAGATCTGGGTAGTGTGCTGGCCAGGGGCTGTGGGCTGCAATGCCTCCAACTGACTGAGGAGGAGAGGGACATGAGGGCGCTGCTGAGGGTCCACGGTCATCATGGAAGCCAGCAGCTGCCGCAATGCTGGTGAATGCCTGTGGGGAAAGAGGCTCAGGGTGAGTAGAAGACACCTATAATCTGGCTAAGGGTAGCTGAGTAGGCGAATGCCATGGAGGCCTCTGAAAGGCTCAGGCCCCTCTTCTTGTTTTCACCTGGGGCTCTGTGGAATGCTGAGTTGGTTCTGCACAGCAAGGGCCACACTGTCACCCTTCTGGAACACCATGTCATACGGGCCTTCCCCAAACATCATGGCATACAGCACACAGCCTAGGGACTAAACATGAATTTGGTTAGTCTCTGAGAGAGGGTCAATGGAGATGATATCTTTTCCCTTTAGTGGTGAGAGGAGCCTACACAAGCTAAAAAGAACACATGGCACTCCCAGGACTCGGAGAAGCTAGAAGCTTCTGCAGCCCTTACTGAATGGGAGTTGGAACACTTCCTGAATTGAGTACAGTGTCAGTAACAGTTCCCGGGAAGGAAGTTGAAAGGGATGGCAACACACTGGTTCCTGAGGCCCCTTGCAACAGAAACCAAAGACCTACTTACAGAGTCACACCCCTCCCCATGCAGATCGCCCCACACACCCCCCATGCTCCTCACCCAGACATCAGTGCGCTCATCAATAACACAGTGACTCTGCACGGAGAAGAGCTCTGGGGCCCGGTAGGAGATGGTGCACCGCTGGGCTGCCCAGTCCTACAACAGGAGCCGAGCTCAAAAAATAGGGCACAGGCCACAGTCAAGAGGCCAAATGTGGTTGTGTGACATTAGAGGCAGGGGTGTGGAACAGGTGAGCACAGGGACTCAAAGGCTCTTACTTGCAGGGTCAGCGCCTGGCGGGATCCCTCCACATGGATGCACGCTTGGTTCATGGAACCCAAGTCCATTAAAACTGGCTGTCCTTCATCTCCAAGCAAGATGTTGGTGGGTTTCAGGTCTCTTGCAGGGAAGTAGAAAGGATACATAAGCCAGAATCCCAGGGAACCAAAGAATAAAACAAAAATTCCAGGGGCTGTCTCTGGGAAGAAACACAGAGACAGAGACAGCCCCCGTTTCTCATGAGGCTCTTGCTCTTGGCCCCACAAGTACATGGCGCCCTGCCACTGACCTGTGGGCATAACCCTTGGCATGAATGGCCTCGAGGCCTCTACAGATGCCCAGTAGTAGCTGAAGAATTTGATCCTCAGACAGGAAGTTGCCTTTGTCCTTGAGCCTTTCAATCTCGGTCCATAGTGTACCTCTCTGCAACACAAGTTTCCCCACAGGAAGGGTGGGGTGAGGTGGATGTTTCTGGAACTTCTGATCTCTGGGGCCTGCTCCTTGCCCTCTGACCCACCCCCTCCAAACACACACACTTACCCCAAACCCCACAGTCTCACATGGACTTCCTCTAAAGCTCAAAGCCCAAGTGGCCAAATTCAGGACATGGCCCTGCTTCCCAACTTGCTGGAGTGTTCACACAGGCCCCCTGGTAGGCGGCTCTCTCCATAGCCAGGAGTATTTCTGACCTTAAAGAAAGGCAGCAGCAGCCAGGCCTCATGCTTGGCATCCCGCTCCCTCAGACAGTAGGCCACAAGGCGCAGGATGTTGGGGTGATGAAAGAGGCGATGCATGTCTGCTTCTCGCTGGGCGTCCTCTCGGTCTTGCTGCTCGTGACACAGGATTCGCTTCAGGGCGTAGAAGTGTCCATCATGTAACCCCTCCACTAGGTCCACATAGCTGAACCCTCTGTGGGCCAAAGGGTCAGGGAAGGGTCATGGTCATCCCCCACCTGCCTCTGATGTGGGGGTAGATGGCAAGGGGGTGGCTCTTCCATTCAGTCAAAGCCCTCCCAAAGATGTGGCTGTAAAAGAAGCTTGAAGCTCCCCAAGAGGGGACATAGGACTCCCTGAGGTCCCATGGCCCTAAGGTAGGGCTGTGGACATGCACGCAGTGCTTCGGAACCAGGCACCACACAGGACATTCAAAATTCATCCACTCCTCCCAACTCCTCCAGCTGGGTGTGATAAGCATCTCCATCAAGCAAACAGATGATGGCTCATCAAGATCACACCACATGGTTCTAGGAGGTTCCAGAACCTACTTTCTAAACTACCAAGCAGATAGGGAGGGTCAAGTGGGCTAGATGACTGGGAGAAAAAAAAAAATCCTGAGCCCCGAGTCTGTGCAGGACATTGCTGTCTGGGGCTTCAGTATTTTCCAAAAACTCACCCTTCCCCCAGCTTCTGGATGAAGAGGTAGCGCTTATTGTCAATGAGGACAGTTCCCCGGGAGCAGATACAAAGCGCGTGGCCCATGATGTCTCCAACATCCTCCTCAAGGACGAGCTGAAGCTGCTAAGGGACGTGTCCAGAGTGAGAGAGCTCTTCTTCCAGGCCAGGCGCAACGGGCCCAGAGGTTCATGCTGGAAGGAAAACAACGGCAGGGTCGCGGCTCCAGCTCGATCCTTCCGACCGCTGAAGGATCAAGGCGGAGCGTTCAGACCCAGGTCTCAGACCCTAGATTTCCGTCTAAAGAAAAAGGGTCCTGGCCAGACCAGGTCCGAAAAGCCTGGAGTCAGGTGCCTCAAAGCCTCACGACGCTTCCTCCAATCCCAGCCCGCCTTTGGGTGGCCCCTTTTCCCGAGCCCGTGGGGCCGCGCACAGGAGGAAGGGAATAGGTAGTTCCCGAGGACGCGCGGGCTTCTGGCCCACGGCTTGCAGAACCCACTCCCAGCCTCGGAACACAGAGTCAGCAGTCCACTAGCCGGACCTCCTCACACTGACCTGGTTAGGGAAGGCACACAGCCAGAAACCGGAAGCAGTGGTTTACATCATCAATCCGCGCCGGCGTAACGGCCCGCGGTATCCTAGCAACTGCTGGGCTTCGGGAGGATGTCGGGGTGTGGAACTAAGAGGCGGGCTAGACCTGCCGGTGCACGGGTCGCAGGACCCAGGTGAGAATTTCCTCTACCTGGGCTTCAGTAGCGGTCAAAACGCATGCTCTTGGCAAATCCGGGCTCGGCCCGAGGCCCCCAGGATCTCCATCTCCTAATGTCGGAGGTAGGAGGCCTCTCACTGCCCGTCCCTTGGGCCAGAAAGTGCCTGACCACAGTCCAGCCCCTAACGGGGGATCCAGGGAGGGGACAGGCTGGCAACATCCTAGCCCAATATCCCACCACCCTTGTCTCAGTGGTTAAAAGCTCAGGAACCTGACAGTTTCTAAATGGGGTCTGTGTGTGCTAGGGCAGGTTAACCTCGTGGATCCTAGCTTTTTGTGGCTGCAAAATACATGAAATAAATAGTACCTTAGATTTAGGGCATCCATCATGGGGCCAGACTACTGACTCACATTGCAGCTCTACTAAACTAGTAGTGTGAGCTCAGATGGGCAGCTTCATATTTGTGTCCTTCATGGTTGTTGCTTCATGACAGCGTTTTAAGATTGGGATGTCATGTGTTTAGCACACTGTCTGGTGCATAACCCTCAGTGTCACCACCGCCCTGGTCCTCACAGTCCAGGTCTGGGACTCTGAGGGTGGCCTCATTGGGAGTCCCCGGATTCTCCAGCCTTGGCATCAAGGAATTGCCTTAGACATCTCTTGCCTAAATGGGGGGCAGGGGCAAAGGTGTAAAAGGGGTGCACTTCCAGAGAGGAGGGAGTGGTCAGGATTGGCTTTTGAAGCAGGGTTTTCTAGGGAAAGGGCTCATCTTGTGACTTCTGCTGCTAAGGTCCTGATCACCATGAGGGTTCGCTTTGGATTTTCCTGGACTGTGAACCCATTTGTTTGTTTGTTTGTTCATCCTTCCTTCTTCTATTTTCTTTTGCCATTGTTGTTAAGATTTATTTATTTTCACTGGAAAGGCAGATTTACAGAGTGGAGAGACATAGAAAGTTCTTCCATCTACTGGTTCACTGCCCACAAGGCCACAATGGCCAGAGCTGAGCCAATCTGAAGTCAGGAACTTCTGGGTTTCCCGTATAGGTATAGGATCCCAAGGCTTTGGACCATCCTGTGCTGCTTTCCCAGGCCACAAACAGGGAGCTGGATGGGAAATGTTGCAGCCGGGACATGAATCAATGCCCATGTAATATGCCAGTACTTGGAGGTGGAAGATTATCCAGTTGAGCCACTGCATCAGCCCTCCCCTGCCCCAGCCATTTTCTTACAGATTTAACCTGCTGTGTGGAGAGCCCTATGCTTGATGCTGAGGGTCCCAGGTAGACAAGGCATTCCTGGTCTTCAAGGAGTCTAGTTAAGACTCTGCTTCTTTGTCTCCAGTGTCCCTGGGAAATCTTAAAAACACACATTCTGGGTCCAGTGAGGGTTCGATTGGCTAATCTTCCCCTTTCAAGCACCAGAATCCCATATGTGTGCTGACTCTTGTCCTGGCTACTCCACCTCCCATCCAGCCTCCTGCTTGTAACCTGGGAAAGCAGTAGAGGATGGCTCAAAGCCTTGGGACCCTGCACCCATGTGGGAGACCTGGAAGAAGCTCCTGGCTCCTGGTTCCTGGCTTTGGATCTGCTCAGCACCAGCTTCTGTGGCCACTAGGAGGTGAACCAGTGGATAGAAGATCTTTCTCTCTGTGTCACCTTCTCTATACAGTCTGCCTTACCAATAAAAATAAATCTTAAAACACACACATACATACATTCTGATTCTGTAAAGTCTGAGGTAGGACCTGAAAGTGCATTTCTAACCAGCTCCCAGTTAATGTTAAGGAAGCTGGCTCGAGGCTGCACTCAGAATGGCAAGATGTAGAGGATTTTTACAAGTTAGTGGGGTCTTGGGCGGGCTGCAGGCTGCAGTCCTGGCAGACTGCCTGGCAGCCAGAGGTGGTCTCCGCCCCCTTGCTGGCTGAGGTTCCCTCCCAGGAATCTGACACGTGACCGTCAGACCTCTGTCTCGGAGAAAGGAGCCTTGGAAGCGCCATGGCTTGGAAGAAGGCTCCCTGCTTTCCCTCTCTGCTCCTGTCGCTGCTCTTGTCCCAGGTAAGAAGAAAGGGTGGAACCAGCTGGCCCGGGTGTGGTGAGGTGGAGTCAGATCTGGCAGATGAGGGAAAGTCAAAGCCACCGCAAAGCAACTCAGGGCTGGTTCCTCCCCCGAGAGGTGTGCTGAGCCCGGTCTCTTGGCCTTGGCAGGCAGACGCTCGGTCGTTTGTGGTGGATCGGGAACATGACAGATTCCTCTTGGACGGTGCCCCATTCCGCTATGTGTCCGGCAGCCTGCACTACTTTCGGGTCCCTCGTGTGCTTTGGGCAGACCGGCTTTACAAGATGCGACTGAGCGGTCTCAACGCTGTCCAGTTGTAAGAGGGGCTCCCTAGAGCCACGGAGGGACAGGGCAAACCATCACCACCTCCTGGTTAGAACGGGACGCTGCAGCGCAAGATTGGCTGGGTTTGAAAAGGACCTAGTTCCGGGCTCTGTGGCCAAGGGGTGGGAAAGAGAGGACCAGGAACTCGCTCCAGCTGCTTCCTGAAGTTTCCTTTGGTCCTCCCTGGCTTCTCCACACCCTGGGCCTCTTCTTTAACCTCTTCTTTTCTCAGTTATGTGCCCTGGAACTACCATGAGCCAGAGCCAGGGGTCTATAACTTTAATGGCAGCCGGGACCTCGTTGCCTTTCTGAATGAGGCGTCTAAAGCAAAACTGCTGGTCATCCTGAGACCAGGACCTTACATCTGTGCAGAGTGGGAGATGGTGAGTTAGCTGGAGAAGGCACTGTGGCGTTTCTAGAACACTCGCATTTGCCCACACTCCAGGGCCATTTCCTTCACTGTACTCTACTCCTTCCCTTTCCACATCCCCCACCCACCCCAAAATAACATGATCTGCATGCTTCTTTGTTGTCTTTATGTTTGGCTCAGGGAGGTCTCCCATCGTGGTTGCTTCGAAAACCTAAAATTCATCTGAGAACCTCAGATCCAGGTGAGTTGAAACAAAAGATGCAACAAGGAAAACGAGCAAACAATAACAAAAAAAAACGGGTCCTTTGGGTGCCAGGACCAGGACAGAGCATCCCCAGATTGGGAGCCATTCCTTAAAACTATTGATTGTTTCCTTTATCATCAGCAGGATACTAAAAGCTGGGGCTTCACAGATCCAGTTCCTACGCCATGCAGTTTATAACATAGTGAAAGAGATAATTTAAAGAGAAAAATCTTACATGTGAAAGTATGGCAAACTATAATAATACTATGCAAAAATTAGTAATATAACGAGTTGAGATAGTGACAGAGAGAACTTCTAGATGGGGTAGCATAAGGGTAAACTCTGAGATGAACCTGCAGATGACTGCTAGATCTTAAGAGTAAAGCAAGAACCTTCTTAGTAGAAGGAACAATACATTTTAAGGCTCAGAGATGAGAAATAAACTGGCATGATTGAAGAGTTCACAGAAGAGGGAGGTAACTGGAGTATAGCAGGAGATATGAAAATTGAAGATGACATGAGACAGTTGGTGCTGGGTCTTATAGACCATTGTAACATGTTTATGTTTTATTGCTAGCAAAAGTCATGACAAAATCTAACCAGAGGTATGACATGATCTGACTTGGTATAGATATCATTTTAGCTGAGGGGTAGGAACTAGATTCAGGGGAGCATAGGTGGAAAGGAAGAAATCAATTGGTAGACCATCACTCTAGTTAAGCATAGAGATGACGGTGCCCGCAAAGGGCCAGCCCCCATGCCGTATGCTGATGTGGTTTAACAGCAAGAAATAGTCCTCTAACCTTCCTGCCCTGCTGGCACAGGGGAGAGAGAGAGAGAGAGAAAAGAAACATAAGTTCTGCCCACCTCTCTCCATACCTGACCTTCCCCACCCTAATCAGAGAGCTACATGGCTGTATATCCCTCTCAGCTATGAAACAATATTAAAAGTAAAATTAATTTTAAAAAAGAAGAGATGATGGTGCTTGGACTAAGGCAATGTTGATGGAAAGAGGGAAGAACTGAGATATGGTTCAGGAGGTAAAGCCAGCAGGATTTTTGTTTTTTTTTTTTTAATGGAAGAGAAGGAGTGGGGCTATGTAAGTAAGGTTGGGAAAGGAATAAAGTTTCTGGTGAGCCAAGAGGGTGATGATGGTATATAGATGTATGGGGAAGGTAGAGAAGAGTATGTGGCAGGTGAGCAGCTCTGGAGAGAAAGCAGTTTTATTCTAGTCATATTAAGTTTCTAGCCTATCTCACTCAGGTAAAGATATTAAAGAGGCATTTGGATGTGTAGTGTGGAACTTCCCAGGGTGGTCTGACCTAAATACCACAAATATGAAAGCCAAGAGTCTAAAGATGTTTTTCAGTCACTGTGACATGCATCACTTGGGGAACCAATGGAGAGAAAGAAAAGATGGTACCTTACAATAGCCTAGTGCCTAAATCCTTGCCTTGCATCTGCCAGGATCCCATATAGGTGCCAGTTCGTATCCTGCTGCACCACTTCCCATCCATCTCTCTGCTTGTAGCCTGGAAAGTAGTAGAGTATGGCCAAAGGCCTTAGGACCCTGCACCTGCAAGGGAGACCCAGAGGAAGCTCCTGGCTCCTGATCAGCTCAGCTCTGGCTGTTGTGACCACTTGGGGAGTGAATCAGTGAACAGAAGATCTTTCTCTGTGTGTCTCCTTCTCTCTGTGTATCTGTCTTTCCAATAAATAAATATTAAAAAAAATTCATCTTGGAGAATGCCCCGTATATCAGTGTTTAGATTTCATCTCCGGTGCAAATAACAAGTCATTAGAGAAAGGGGATGAATTATAACATTTATTCCTCTTAAAACGATCATTCTGGGGCCCGGCGCAGTAGTCTAGTGGCTGGGGTCTTCACCTTGTCTATGCTGGGAACCCATGTGGGTGCCGGTTCTGGTCCCAGTGGCCCTGCTTCCCGTCTGGCTCTCCTTAGAAATACACACACTTCTCTCAGCTTTCACGATAGCCTCACTTACCAGCCACTGCCCCTGAACCACCACCCATACCCCACCCCCCCAGTCTTCCTGACCACTTCTCCTCAGTCTCTTAGAAGTTCTTTTCTTTCTGTTAAGTGCTGGGGTGGGAGGGTGGAGTTACCAGGGTTCAGTCCTTGGATGATTGTGTTTATTCTCATGCCTTAGGTAATCTCATCCATTTCCATCAGGGAATTAAAGTCCATCTAATAGCTAATGATCCCAAAATATTTTATCTTAAGCATGTAGCTTGATTACATAGCTTTATATTCTGGGCCTTTTTGTTTGCTTTTAAAGAATTTGAAAAGCAGAGTAAAGAGAGAGGGAGACAGAAAATCTTCCACCTATATGGATGCTAGGAGTGCAAGCACTTGGGCCTTCTGCTGCTTTCCAAGGCACATTTCCAGGGAGCTGGATTAGAAGTAGAACAGCCAGGATTCAAACAAGCACACATACGGGATGTCAGTGTCTCAGATAATGACTTAACTCCCTGCACCACTTCACTGACCCCGTCACCTTGTTCTTACATACAAGGTCTTCTGTGTGCATATTCCATTGATATGCAGATGTGCATGTGCTTAGGGTTGAAAGTTCCTCTGTGTCACTGCTTCCCAAATTTAGATGTGGGCAGGTGGGTTGGAAATTGCAGCCCAGGATCTAGGTAGCACTGAAATGTCTAGTAAGGATGCTGGGGCAGCGGGTTGTGGAGGTGGTGCTGGCCCTTGATGAGCAGAGTCATGCTCCTTCCTTTAGATTTCCTTGCTGCCGTGGATTCCTGGTTCAAGGTCTTGCTGCCCAAGATATATCCATTTCTCTACCACAATGGGGGCAACATCATTAGCATTCAGGTATAAGTGGGAAGTTGACTGGGCAAGCAGAAGGAAATACAAGGTACCTTTGACCTTATACGTCCCCTGACTGGGCTCCACTTTCTTTCCCTTGACAGGTGGAGAATGAATATGGTAGCTACAAGGCCTGTGACTTCCACTACATGAGGCACTTGGCCGGACTCTTCCGTGCATTGCTTGGAGATGATATCTTGCTCTTCACTACAGATGGGCCAGAAGGACTCAAATGTGGCTCCCTCCAGGGACTCTATAGCACTGTAGATTTTGGCCCAGGTTCCTTGAACAAGGGTTAGGAGTGGAGTCTGGGGCAGGGCACCCCCTCTATGCTATTTATCTTTTGCCTTTGTTCCTTTTTGCAGCTGACAACATGACCAGAATCTTTAATCTACTTCGGAAGTATGAACCCCGTGGCCCATTGGTGAGGAACCAGAGAGGAAGGAAGTCTAAGTGAGAACTGGGACTGGGAGTGGGTCAGTGAATCGTCTTCCTCACAGTTCTCATTTCACACCTTAGGTGAACTCTGAGTACTACACAGGTTGGCTGGATTACTGGGGCCAGAATCATTCCACGCGGTCTATTCAAGCTGTAACCAAAGGACTGGAGAACATGCTCAAATTGGGAGCCAGTGTGAACATGTAACTTGTGCTGCTGGTGCCAGCATGAACCTGCAATGGAGGCTGGGGTTGAAAGTTAAGATTCAGGATTCAGTGTGTCAGTTTATACGTTTCCCCCTTACTCTCCCCTCAGGTACATGTTCCATGGAGGTACCAACTTTGGATACTGGAATGGTGAGTCTAGAAGGTCTAGAAGGTCTCTGGGGTCAAAGCAGGGCTGCACATGATCAGCACTGCCCATTCTGCTGGCACTTTCCCATATGATGCTCTCTGCTTAGTATCAGTTATCTGAAAGCTGTCTTAATTGGTTCAACTCCAGGTGCTGATGACAAGGGACGCTTCCTCCCAATTACTACCAGCTATGATTATGATGCACCCATATCTGAAGCAGGAGACCCCACACCTAAACTTCTTGCTATCCGAAATGTCATCAGCAAGGTGCCCTACTTCCTGAAATTCCAGCCTTATTAATTTTGGGCGTTGGGGGAAGAGTGATTCAGGGTGGAGTGCCCCAATTTGGTGGTGGTCAAACATTTCCTACTCCCCTATGGAAGAGGCACACTCAAGCGAGTACAAAATTGTAGGATCTTCATGCCCTCTAAAGCCCTTTCCGGGCCCTACTCTAGAGCCTTGGGGTTATTCCTGTGGTGACCCCATTGCTCCTGAGAGAATGTGGGCTTAGTTCCAGGAAGTTCCCTTGGGACCGTTACCTCCTCCAAGCCCCAAGATGACACTGGGACCTTTGACTCTGTACCTGGTAAGTTGCATATCTTTTCAGATTCTGTTCTTTGTAAATACTCCAGCCTGTCCTACCCTCTATCCAGAAACTTCCTTCTTTCTCTGATTCTTTACTCTTCTCCTAAAAGGATGGAGATTTGCTGGCTTTCCTAGATTTTCTCTGCCCTGAAGGACCCATCCATTCAGTCTTTCCACTGACCTTTGAGGCTGTCAAGCAGGTAAGTTAGGTAGGCCTCTAACTGGCTGGGATAGCAACTGCCCTCCAAAGCTGTACCTGAACGCTGCTTCTGGCTACCCATCTGCATCACGATTTCCTTTCCTACCACCTTTAAGTTTATTTTACAGTGCTCATTCTTCCATATCCAGGACCGCGGTTTCATGTTGTATCGGACCTATCTGACCCATTCCGTTTTTGAGCCAACGCCACTGTGGGTGCCAAATAATGGAATCCATGACCGTGCCTATGTTATGGTGGATGGGGTGAGAACCTAATTGTAGGCCCCAATTTCTTCCTGTCCCCAGCACCCTTTCCTACTTGCTTGTTCACATTTGCAGAGCTGAACAGAGTCTAGGGTTAATCTGGGATGACAAAGTTTAGGAATAAAGAAAACTGATAAGTGGCTACATTTTTTCTGCCCTCCAAATTAAACTTCCTGTACTATGACCAAAAATTGAATGCTGAGCCTATTCTAAAAAAGAAAGAAAAAGAATAACAGAGATCTTCTATCTGCTAGTTCATTTTCCAAATGGCCACAACAGCTAGGCCTGGGCCAGGCCAAAGACAGAAGGCAAGAATTCCATCCTGGCCATCCAGGGTGGCAGAGGCCTAAGTACCCATACCATCCTCTGCTGCCTTCCCAAGCACATTAGCAGGGAGTTGGATCAAAAGCAGAGCAGCCTGGACTCAAGCCAATACTTCAATGTGGGATGCTGTTGTAACCTGTGGCTTAATGCCAATCTGAACCCTTCCTTTCATAAAGTACATCTCTTACTCATAGGTGTTCCAAGGTGTTTTAGAACGAAATATGAACCACCAATTGTTTTTGATGGGGGAATTGGGAGCTAAATTGGACATCCTGTTGGAAAACATGGGGAGACTCAGTTTCGGATCTAATAGCAGCGACTTCAAGGTGAGCTTTGTCTTTCCCCTCCCTTTAGTAGTCTTATTGCATAACTCCCCTGAAAAACTAGAGGCCTAATGTAAGTTGAACAAGAGCCATGTCATTTAAGAGTTAAGCAGAAAACATCTCTGTGTGATGAACTGTGGTAATTTGAACAGTGGTAATGCAACAAGGTGGAGGAAATCCACCATGGGGGGCTAGGGGAGGGGAGGGGGCTAGGGGAGGGGAGGGGGTTAGGGGAGGGGAGTGAGGAATCCCAGTGCCTATAAAACTGTGTCACATAATGCAATGTAATCAATTAAAAAAAAAAAGAGTTAAGCAGAAAACAGTGGCTTGCTGGGGATCTTAACATGGCTACCAATCATATGCAAGGTTGCTGTGGGATTAGTAGGCCCAAAAGTCCAGTGAGTGATGACTTTTCATTTGCCTTCTCCACAGGGCCTATTACAGCCACCCATTCTGGGGCAAGTAATCCTTACCGAGTGGATGATGTTCCCTCTGAATGTTGATAAGCTTGTAAAGTGGTGGTTTCCCCTCCATTTACGGAAAAGGGCAAAACCTCAAACTCCCTCTGGCCCCATCTTCTACTCTACAACATTCCCAGCTGCAGGTCCAATTGGGGACACATTTCTCTATCTACCTGGATGGACCAAGGTATTGCATTATTGCTCACAGTTGTAGTGGTAGTGGGAGGTGTTATAAGAGAAATATCATGGAAGCAGCAGGAGAGAAGCAATGACTCCTCAGATTTGATTCCCTCCCCTGAAGAACTGACTTCTCTTCCTCTCTCTTCCCTTCTCTCAGGGCCAAGTCTGGATCAATGGGTTTAACTTGGGCCGGTACTGGACAAAGCAGGGGCCACAAGAGACCCTCTATGTGCCAAGACCCCTGCTTTTTCCTAGGGGAGGCATCAACAAAATCACAGTGTTGGAGTTAGAAAATGTGCCTCCTGAGCCTCTGATCGAATTTCTGGATAAACCCATCCTCAATAGCACAACACATAAGACATACATCTATTCTCTCTCTGTTGAGGCCCAAAGCGCCTCAGAACCAATGCAGTTAAGTGGGCACTGAAAGCAAAGGTAACCCTTGGACCTTGGACATGGAGTGGGCAGGACCCTTTGTTGGCCACAGTGACCCTAAGGAACCAAAGGCCAAAGTGCCTCTGAATGTAAGTCTGAATGCAGTCTCTTTGCCAGCCTTTATTGTGATTAAAGTTCCAGAGACAGTACCAGTACTCTGTGGCTCTGTCTTTGCCCTGGTTCCTGAGTCCCTCCCCCTGATTTTCCATATACTCTCTGTCTTGGGGAGGAGACGACACCTTGGGCTGCTGTAGGTAGGCCCCTTTCAGGATGTAGAGTTGGCCCCAGGTGGAAGTTGTAAGAACTCAGGAAGATGGCTTCCCAGCCTGACAGCGATGATGCTGGAGGCAACGGGTGGAGCAGAAAGAAAAGTCGAGGTAGTGAAAGGGAATGAGGCCTTGGAGGGATGCCCCACAACTCCAGCAGCGTCTGCACAAGAGGAAAAAAAATGGTTGCACAGGTAATCTAGAACATTCCAGGGCAGTTCAACTCCTCTCCATTCCCCACCATCTCTGCACCCCACAGATTCCAGAACATCTTTAGGTCCTTCAACAACTCTTCTGCATACTGTTTGGGCTCTCATTTCCCTTCCCCAGATGGTTCCTGCATTCGAGTCCACCCCATCATTCAGTCCCTTGCCTCATACCGAACATTGCCAGCTGTAGAGTCAGGCGTCAGAGGGCTGGGGACTCCCAATTGGGCAGCGAGGCGGCGCTCTGCGGCTAGAGCTCTCTGATAGAGAAGTTAGGTTAAAGACAGGGCCGCAGCAGTGAACAGGGACCGCAAGAAGTGTCAGCTGCACATTGGGGCAGGGATCACACCTGCAAGGTGACCTTGCTGTGGAACTGCCCATATAGCCTCACCTTCTCCCGGTCACTGAGGGCAGCAAATCGCAGCCGCTCTTCCTGCTCCCGCTGCTCCTGCTCCCGCTGTTTCCGCCGCTGGTCCTCCCGTTGCCTCCGGGCTGCCTTCTGCTCCTTCTTTCGGGAAGCCCGGCGAGCCTCCATTTCCGCAGTCAGTGGCCCTGGCACCTAGAAGATCGCCAGAAGGTGCTGAGACCCCCATGATCCATCCTTTGCGAAACTGCAAGGAACAGAAACTCTTAACTGGGCTCTGCAATGCCTTCCCACACAGCACTTCCCTCTTATCTTCCCAGCTAACCTGAGCCTTACGGTAATCACAGGCTTCTGGATTCTTCTCCATGAACCTTCGGAACTCATTACGTGTCGATTTGTCAGCGGCTACAGTATAAGGTGGCCGGCCACACGAGTCTCTATGTGCAAAAACCCAAAACGACAGGTTCAGCTTGCCTTCTGCCTTTCCAGACATTGCCCAACCAGATCAAGGGAATACTGCAAAGTAGCCAATGCAACATTAGCCTTCAGCTTCTCTTCTCTAGTCCCAAGATGGTTCAGGACGAGGACCCCCACTTACTGCACGGTAGGGTCAGCACCTGCCTCCAACAGCAGACGGACCACCAAGCCTCTTCCAGCTGCAGCTGCGGCGTGCAGAAGAGTAGAACCACCAGGGCCAGAGGGGACACTAAGTAGAGACCTAATTCCTGGGTCTGTAGGGCTGGCAGCTAAGTGCAGCGTCAGCACTCCAACATCTCCAGCTCGACAAGCAGCTAACAGCACTTCCCAGAGGCTTGCCTGACCGTGGGCCTCAGCTTCATCCTGCAAAGGCTCTGAGGAGGCTACCATGATCTGTGCTGACTGCGAAGTGGGCTCATCTTGAGGGAGCTGCTGGAAAAGAGCCTCCTGCCCTCGACTTCCCTCTTTCTTATTCCTTTTTCTCCTCCTCTGCTTGGGCAATACCTCGAACTCACGAAGATCCAAGGTCCCCAGAGTCAACTCCACTAGCTCCAGCTCTACCTGGGAGCTGTCTTCTTCCTCTGACCCTGAACCTAGGAAAAAGCCTGACATGTCAGATCCATCTAACGAACAATAAGCAAACCAGCCAGATCACCTTGAAATGAAGTTGTTTTTATTTTGTCCCTGAACTCCCGATGAGCATCCTTTGGATGCTGTATGGTAGAGGAAAGCATAAAAGCATCAGCCCACATCCACAGCATCCGCTAAGACAGATAAGTGTTGGGGGATTCAGGCTACACACATAAGCATTTAGTGCAGGCTAAGACTTTTCACAGAACTGTGAACAGAAGAGGTAACAGACTTGGAAAGGTTACAAACCTTGTCTCAGAAATTGCCATTTGAGGAGCAGGCCCTGAGGTGGGAGTGGGTGTATGTGTTGTGTGATAGCCCATTTATAAACTGGGAGGTGGGTTAATTATGACCCATTCACCACTATGTAACAAGGACAATTGCCAAATGGTGCTCAAACCCTCATTCATTCTGCCCAAGGGCCTCACCTTCATTGCTGGGAGCCTCTCTTTCTTTCTCAGCAGCCTCCTTTCTCTCTGCTCTTGCTGTTTTCCAATGTGCTGGAGTTGAGGGCAGCCTGACTAGCTCCCGAGGGTCTTCTCCTATCATACAACAAAAGACCTTTCTAGAACATAACTGAAGAGCATCCTGCCCAGGCTTCTTAAGGAAGTGTATACAGAGTTACAGTCTGTGGGCTACAGAATCCCTTGAGAACATGGCTTAGGTTGAACAGTACAGCAAGGTCCAGGGGGACTGGGGATCTACATCAAAAGACTCACCATGGACATGCAAGGTGGTCAGCTTCTGGAATGTACGCTGTACCTCTCCAAAGGTGGGTCTGCGTGTGGCCAAGGGGATAGCCCAAAGTCTGGGATCACCCTTTTGCAAGGGCGCGCCCTGGCCTCCAAAGAACAAGGAGCCACCAGAGGAAGGCGCACGGAGTAGTATGGTGTCCATCTCCGCCAGGGCCTTCGCCCAGTCTGGCCCTGCCAGCAGCTCACGAACTTCCTGGAAAAGACAGCTGCTCAGCCCTGTATAATTTTAGACTGTAGCCAGACATAAGAAGATCTGGGAAGGTACAGGAGTCAAAAACCTCCTGGACTGTAATATTGAGTGAACTGAAATGACAATCACAAAAGGAGGAACAGCAAGGTCTGAGCACCTCACTCACCTGTCTCAGTGTGGCTTCATTGTAGCGCCGCAGGCTGGCTCCTGCTGAGCGAGGGGCTGCACCACGGGCATCCTGGAGGCCCTGGGCTGTGCCTCGCTTAGCCCTCACTGTGTAGCGATGAAAGGTTTTGTGTGTCACCACTTCCCTTCTGTAAACAGTACAGACTCAGTGCTGGAGCCCAGGTGGCACTCCCAAGCCAACATGATCCTTTTATCCTCAACCCAGGCAGGCAGCATCCCCTTACCCTCGGAAAATGGCACCAGCAAAATGCCCTGCTGCAGCCATGAGGACCACGCAGTGTGGGGGACCTCCACCTTGCAGGTTTTTAAGCAGCAGTTCCTCCTCTTCTGGGGGTACCTGGATAACAAAGAAGCAGCAGAGTATCTCTGTCACATTCTGTTATAAGAAACCACCTGCAAGCACTAAATGCTCCATATGTACTCCTTTGTTTAACACAAGCACCCCGAGGCTTCTTTGAACTGCATGAATAGGGAACGTGAGGCTAGAAGACATAGCTAGCACCACAGTTCAAACAGACAGATCTGTTTCCACACTTCACTGCATGACAGCTAGTCACTCCTAAGATTTAAACCAGTTTCACCCCACAACTGAACTCTCAAGTGTGACATCCACACCCAATAGGTGAGAGAAGGCCAGGATTGAGTGACTTACCTGGTGAGGGCCTAGGACGCAGCGGTAGGCGAGCAGAAACTGGCCCTGGGCATTTTGGAAAAGAACCCGGTGTGACGGGAAGCCTTGGGGTCGGTTCAACTTCTTGGATTTAGCTCTCTCCTCCTCTGGTGCCTGGCAGTCCTCCTCACTGGCAGAGTCAGATTCTTCAGATCCTGAGATGCTGGAAAGATCTCCTGAGAACAATCAGCAGGACATACACACATTTGATGCCCTAACTCTGATCTTTCTTCAAACTCCTACATTTTCTTCCACCCTCCACTCACCCCCCCATCGATCCTAATCCCACTCTGGTCTGCCATCAGTCATCACCTGTGGAACTCCACTTTTCAAAGTCCAAGGCAGACAGAACAGGTTTGTTCCTGAGACGCTGCTTTAGGTTAAACCGGTGCCAGTCAAGCTTATAATGTTCTCTCTGGGATAAAAAGAAAAGGGCAACAAACTGCAGCCTCACCTGTATATTAGCCACAACAGGTGACACCGACCACCTGAGCCAAAGCACAGAACTTAAGACCACTGTCTGCCTCCTCCCCACCACTGTTGTACTTTTGCTTCTAAGATTAATCCTGGTAACCATGGCCTTTTACCTGTTCCTGCTGGTTCTGGAAGGTCTGGTTACAGGTTACACAAAACAACTTCTCCGAAACATCCAGGGGAGCCTGCAGTGATTTTTTTTGTTCAGGGCGTGTGTTCTCCCCTGAACCTAAACAAGGATAATGGAGATAGAAAGCAAGGCTGTTCCACAGGCCTAGAGTTGCACTGAGTGTCCAATATACAGGGATGAGTTAACAAGCCCCCTGCCTTTCAGGGACTTACAATCCAGTAAAGCAATTGATGGCCTGACAGCTACTTCATACAAGAAATATGCTTGTCTCTGCATGATCATACATGCAAAGATGTCTGGAGGAGTATACATCAAATAGTATACCTAAATTAACCAAAGGAAAATAATTTCTGGTAAGGTCTATTTTTAAAACTTTTTAACTGTACAAAAATTACCTTTCAGCTTTTTAAGCTTACATTTCCAAGTACCCTGGGCAGTTTAAAAAGAGGTGCCACAGAGCACACCTATATGTTGTAAAAAAAATAAATAAATAATAACGATAAAAGTAGTAATATATAGTTATAGTCAGCAAAAAGGAATGATTTGGAGTCCAGTTCAATTTCAAATACATCAAGGAATTTGAAAATGATGTCTTTTCCCCCAAGTGTAAAATAAAAAAGGTTAACGTGAAGAGACATAGCAATGTCCAAAGAGCTCCGGCAGCATCTGAGGGGGCTGTGCTGGAAACACCCAGAGAAGACACTCTGACAAAGTTTACTCAGCAGAGAAAAGTCAACGTGGATATCTAGGGTGGGGGTGGGGGAAATTGCCAGGAAGCACGTGTCCCCGCCCGGGGGGGGGGTGTGTTGAGACAGGAGCCCCATCACATTCCCCAGGTGTCCCCCCGCCCCCAACCTTCCAGGATACCTGGGCAGGAGGTGCGCGGAGCTTGGTCCAGAGCATCCCCTGCCGCGCGGCTCAAAAGGTTCACTCCTCGAAGGACTGGAGCATCGGCGCTGAGGTCAAACAGGGAGACAGATGCGGGAGCCGGGGCTGCAGCCGGAGCTGGCGACATGACTGAGTGGGGATCACTGGGAAGCGGAATATGGGACAGACAGAGGAAATGAAGCAACAGTTCTCCAGGGTGCGAAGAACTCGATCTCTTCCGGTGCCCCTCCACCTGCTAACATAAGTCGGCTCGGCATTAATTACCGGACCCCCTTCCTCCCAAACCCTAGGTATCCAATCCTAAAAGTGAAATCCCAAATCGAATCCAGCAAAGTTGCCTAGCCGATCGCGTTTCGTTACCCGTGCTCCAAAGCCCCGGCAAAAACTGACCACATAGACGTGTTCGCGTCCTCAGGAGCCGTACCAGATGTCCCAGGAACCCAGCGCACGTACGCCTGGAGTTCGAAAGCTGATTCTGTAACACCACAAGGCCGTCACTACGGAACCGCGAAGAGGACAAAACGCCGCGCCCGCACCTGCGCTCCACCCCGTGTGGAACACAGCATTGGTCCTCCCAGGGCCCAAGAACCGCCTCGAGCCTGTTAGTCCCACCCCAGGAGCCGACAATTGGCCGTCGTGTCTCCACCCCTCATGCTCATTGGTCAGGCTGCCTGCGGGTGACAGTGAGTGGCAGAAGCCGGGGCCTAGCGCTCCGGATCAAGCCGAGTCCGGCTGAGCAGACCCCAGGAATCGCTCGGGTCGCGGTTCAGGAGGTGACACGCGAGACCGATTTTAGAAATCCAAAGGCCAGGGCTGGGTCTGGCCGGGGGTGCCTGAGGAGTCCATAGGTGAGCTCGCGGCGAGCAACGGGGAAAGGGGGTGCAGCGGGCGCGGCGGGGGCGCGCAGCCGGAATGTTTTGATAGCGGGCGCGCGCGCTGGGGGGCGCGCGTGGGCGGCGGGGCCGCGCTCGAGGGTGGCCGCTGTTGGGAGCCGAGCCCTTGGCCCCGGGGCCGGGCGACCCTGGGGCGCTCTGGGCTCGGGTCTGGGAGGCTGGGTATAGGGAACCCAGCCCAGCCGGGGTATCTGGCTCGGAACCCCCCCCCACCACCACCACCACGACCAACAACAACATCTGCAGGAAGTCCCAAACCTAGGCCCTGCCTACTCAATGGTCCCTGGGTCTACACTGACCCGGTCAATGGTGAGTTTCTTGAAGGGCTGGGTTCCTACCAACCCATGGAATCCCACCGGGGCCAGACTGAGCCAAGATCCCCAATCCCCAGGGCCTACGCTGCCTGGGTGAGTACCACAGAGACCCTGCCTGGCTCCAGAACCCGTGAACCCACGGATTCACGCACGATTTGGAGTGTACACGGACCCAGACAGGACTTCCCATCCCAGAGCTCTGCCTGCCTGCCTGCGGGGTCTAATGTTTTCCCTGCTGGGGAAAGAAGTGCCCTCCAATAGGTCCTCTTCAGCAAAGACTCTGAAGGGGGCCATAGTGGGGCTCCAGGAAGCAGGTCTTCATTGCTGAAGCCAAGGTCAGGCTCTGGACAAAAACAGTGTCCTGGTGGGCTGCTTGACCTCAGACCCAGAATGGCTCAGTCCCTACAGAATCAGGAACTTAATTTGCTGCGATCCTGCAACTGAGTTGAGTGCTCCCAGACCTGGGGGCAAGGAAGTTTGCCTTTCCCCCTACTTGAGCCTTTGGGGGCATTGGCCTCCTTTTGGTGGGGCTGGGGTGGGTGGCACAGTTGGGTTCCTCCCCAGCCCCTCTTCCCCACTCCCCTACCCTGGTGCCTGACAACTTCTCCTCCAGCAGCTGCCGAGCCAGGGCACCGAGGGCTGGAGTGGAGCAGAACCCTGTCCATGGAACTGGTAGGGCCATGTGCTTATCTCAAACCTCTGTTGAGAGAATGCTTCCAAACTGCTGGTGTCTCAGGGAGACCAGGGCTCTCAGAAGGGAAGCCAAGGGGAAGGGACCCTGCTCTCCGTGAACTGAAGATTAAACAAACAGCCCCTTTCCCCCCCCACACTCATCCAGCAGGGGCAGATTCTGAATTCAGGTCAGAAAGGCATCGGAGACAGTCCTAAGCAAACTGTTTCCTGAGGTTTCTCCTCTTTGAGCCAATGAGAGGGATAGGGATTCTGTGCTCAAGGATTCACTTCTGGCCTAGGAGGTGGGGCAGCAGGTGCATAGCATCTGGGTCTAAATCGGGTTTCTTCTTCTTGTCCACTGGCAGGTGGACAAGGTGGACAGGGGGCTGTGGTGATGGCGCAGTTTGACACAGAATACCAGCGCCTGGAGGCCTCCTACAGCGACTCACCCCCCGGGGAGGAGGACTTGCTAGTACACGTTGCGGAGGGGAGCAAGTGTGAGTCCTTAGTTGGGAAGGCCAGAGTTGGCAGCGGGAGGAATCTGGGAGAGAGTTGGAGGTGCCCTGGGAGAACGAAGGTCTGACATTTCTGTTCCTGTGCCCACAGCCCCCTGGCACCACATAGAAAACCTTGACCTCTTCTTCTCTCGAATATCCTTTGTGTCTCTCTGTGGGAACCCTGGGACCTTTAGCCTCTCCCTAAGTCAGGCCCATGATGAGAAGCAGGTGCAAGAAGCATGGCGGAAGCGAGGGGGTGGTGCTCTTATCTTGGAAGGAGGATCAGAGCTTGTCTTGAGGCTGAAAGAGTCTGCTGAAATTATGATTGTTAAAAATAATGATGCCCCACATTTGCCAAGAGAGCCACTGCCTGCACGTACTTGGCAGCATTCATTTATAAGGAAACTTTCTAAGGGTGACCCTTCTGTTTGATGAGATGTTAATAATCATGATAATTAATGCCTTTTGACTCATTCGGTGTTACTTCTGTGTTAAAGATTTTACACGCAGTATTTCAGACCTCATAATCTGGTGGTGAGGCAGGTATTGTTATTTCTAACTTAGTCCAATGGACAAAAGCTAAGGAACCAGGGCAAAGCCACATACCTGGGAAGTCGCCAGGTCAGGACTTGAGTTCCGATGCCTTAACTGCTGCCTTTGCTGACTGCTTTTTCTTAACAATGACACGTTTACAATCTACACCAGAAGAATGGCTTCACATGTATGCTCATCGGGGAAGTCTTCGAGCTTATGTAAGTAGCAAGCACGTGGTATGGACTATGACAACACTCCATCTCCTTTGCTATCACCTCTGGCCCTACTCACCAACACAGCTCAATCCCAGACCCAAAACTCTGGTAGTTTTAGAATTCGATGTGACACTAAAACTTTCATGTTAGAAAAGCCTTCCAGAATCATGACTGGTTATGAACTGTACTACTGTAACAATATAGAGGAATTCAATATGGGGGGAGGGCTTGGGGAAGGGCTGGGGGAATCCTAGAACCTATGAAACTGTGTCATAAAATGATACAAAATAAATAATAATAATTTTAAAAAAAGGAAAAGCCTGCCAAATATTCTCCCATGAAGAGAACTCGGTCTTTGACCCCTCCATCCAAGCTCCAGGAGAATGTCCCTGGTTCAGTCGGGTGGTCCCCAAGATGCCAGCCACTGACTGGACGGAGCGTGGGTAGTCCCCAAGTTGCCAGCCACGGACTGGACAGAGTGTGCGCCTTGCCTTCCAAGGGGGAAGGAGTGATAGGGTCTTGCCAAGGGGGTGGGGGGTTGGAGAAGCCTTCGCTCAATACAGATCACCAAAAGTTGGGGCAGGGGGCCATTCTCAAAAGACAGTTGGAGGCTGTAGATTAAAGACCACACTCATAAGACCTTTGAAAGAGTACAGGTGGAAGAGAAGACTGTAAAGTGAGGAAAAGAGGTGCTGTGGCTAACCACAAAAAAAGAGTCAATTGGGGTCTGAGAAGGTCCCATGGGTTTCAGCTATAACAAGAGCCATGAAGAGAAATCTATGGCCCTTTCCATTTCCCCACTCAGCTTCCAGACTCTTCTCTTGCCCTGCTTTATTGCACTAGTATGTCTCTGTGTCTCAGGCCATACCCTCTCTTCCCAAATCCCCAGGCAGTTCCTCTTTGTGGTTGCCTTCACTACCTTCCTGGTTAGCTGTGTGGACTATGACATCCTATTTGCCAACAAGATGGTGAACCACAGCCTTCACCCTACCGAGCCTATCAAAGTCACGCTGCCAGATGCTTTTTTACCTGCCCAAGTCTGTAGTGCCAGGTAAGGTCTCTGGGTAGGAGGACACCCCCCTGTGATTCTCACAGGTGGTGAAGCAAGTGTAACATGAGGCAGTAAATCATGTCACAAAATCCTTCCTGATGGCACTTATGTCTGTCGAGACCCCTGGCTCCAGGGGCTCCCCGCCTTTCCTTCTTTTCCCACACCAGGATCCAGGAAAATGGCTCCCTGATCACCATCCTCGTCATCGCTGGTGTCTTCTGGATCCATCGACTTATCAAGTTCATCTATAACATTTGCTGCTACTGGGAGATCCATTCCTTCTACCTGCATGCTCTACGTATCCCCATGGTAAGACACAAGTTGGGTAGTTAGCATTGCAGCCTCAGGTGTCTTGGATGCATTCCTAGGCCTCAGATGTCCTTACTATCATCTGTTAAGCCAGGCAGCATCTGCTTAATGACTCTATCTCCCACACTTTGTCTCTCTCCACCTCCCCGCCACCGCTGCAGTCTGCCCTCCCATATTGCACATGGCAGGAAGTGCAGGCCCGGATTGTACAGACCCAGAAAGAGCACCAGATCTGCATCCACAAGCGGGAGCTCACCGAGCTGGACATCTACCACCGCATCCTCCGTTTCCAAAACTATATGGTAGCATTAGTGAACAAATCTCTGCTTCCACTGCGCTTCCGCCTGCCAGGACTTGGAGAGGTTGTGTTCTTCACCCGTGGCCTCAAGTACAACTTCGAGCTGATCCTCTTCTGGGGACCCGGCTCCCTGTTTCTCAATGAATGGAGCCTCAAGGCTGAATACAAACGTGGAGGGCAAAGGCTGGAGCTGGCCCAGCGCCTCAGCAACCGCATTCTGTGGATCGGCATTGCCAACTTCCTGCTGTGCCCCCTCATCCTCATCTGGCAGATCCTCTATGCCTTCTTCAGCTATGCTGAGGTGCTGAAGCGGGAGCCTGGGGCCCTGGGCGCACGCTGCTGGTCCCTCTATGGCCGCTGCTACCTGCGCCACTTCAACGAGCTAGAGCATGAGCTGCAGTCCCGCCTCAACCGTGGCTACAAGCCTGCCTCCAAGTACATGAACTGCTTCCTGTCACCGCTGCTGACCCTGCTGGCCAAGAATGGTGCTTTCTTTGCCGGCTCCATCCTGGCTGTACTCATTGCCCTTACGATCTATGATGAAGACGTACTAGCCGTGGAACACGTCCTCACCACCGTCACGCTCCTGGGGGTCACAGTGACTGTGTGCAGGTGGGCAGGGCAGGGGAGCAGATGGATTCCCAGGGCCGGGGAGGAGACCTACAAGTCTCATCACCATGGCCCTGCTCACTCTGCACCAGGTCCTTTATCCCGGACCAGCACATGGTGTTCTGCCCTGAACAGCTGCTTCGTGTGATCCTCGCTCATATCCACTACATGCCCGACCACTGGCAGGGTAATGCCCACCGCTCGCAGACCCGGGACGAGTTTGCCCAGCTCTTCCAGTACAAGGCAGTGAGTGGAGTTGGAGTTAGGGCCTGCTAGAGACCAGCTGGGAGCTCGCTCGGTGGTGAGGGATACACTCGCCCTGCTCTCTCATGACCTGGGTTTCTCCCTCCCGCTCCCCCTTATTCGCTCCTCTCCCGATCCCCCCAACCTGCTCCTTTTAGGTGTTCATCCTGGAGGAACTGCTGAGCCCCATAGTCACCCCCCTCATCCTCATCTTCTGTCTGCGCCCGCGAGCCCTGGAGATCATAGATTTCTTCCGCAACTTTACTGTGGAGGTAGTCGGCGTGGGAGATACCTGCTCATTCGCTCAGATGGATGTTCGCCAGCACGGGCACCCCCAGGTACAGGCAGAGAAGGGAGGCCAGCAACTGGGGTTGCTGCTGCCCTCCACGGCACCTCCAGGCAGAGTGCAAAAAGGGTACCTCCTTTTGAGCCAACAGGCTACTGTGAAGGTAGCCCTGTACTGGGGACACACTGCTGCTGAATTTCAGCCCCAAGCTTCCTGGCATGTGGTTTATTTTTGGGGTTGGTGCCTGGGGACTCTAGATAAATAGGGTGATGCTGCGTTGCAATCTGTGTCCTTCAGGACACATAGCTACACCCACACACTGCAGGAAAGGTACAGGGAGGGTCCCTGGGAGAGGACAGGTCCTGCAGACTGCCACTTTCCTTGTGCAGTGGCTGTCCGGCGGGCAGACAGAGGCCTCTGTGTACCAGCAAGCTGAGGATGGGAAGACAGAGTTGTCCCTCATGCACTTTGCTATCACCAACCCTGGCTGGCAGCCCCCACGTGAGAGCACCGCCTTCCTCGGCTTCCTCAAGGAGCAGGTGCAGCGGGATGGGGCAGCTGCCAGCCTGGCCCAAGGGGGTCTGCTCCCCGAAAATGCCCTCTTCACATCCATCCAGTCCTTGCAGTCGGAGTCCGAGGTATGTCAGGGGTGGGTCAGGGAGCTAATGGGAAGAGAGGACATGTGGAGTAGAAGCAATCTTCCTGCTTATCTCATCTGTGCCATTGAATCCAGTGGCCCCTCTCTTGCCCTGAACTTTCTACCCACCCCTTTGCTTACACAGCCCCTGAGCCTTATAGCCAATGTGGTGGCTGGCTCATCCTGCCGGGGCCCCCCGCTGGCCCGAGACCTGCAGGCTTCCAGGCACCGGGCTGAAGTCGCCTCTGCCCTGCGCTCCTTCTCCCCGCTGCAACCTGGGCAGGGCCCCACAGGCCGGGCTGCCAGCACCATGACAGGCTCTGGGTGAGTAGAGGTGGACCAGGACGGGAGGGCACGGCGGGACCTCCGCTCCCCCTCCTGCCTGCCAGCTACAGCTCGCCTGGGTCTCAGAAGTGCTGACGCTGGCTGGCTATCTGTGCCGGGAGGGACAGGGTGGACGCCAGGACCGCCAGCTCCGGGAGCAGCGTGTGGGAAGGACAGCTGCAGAGCCTGGTGCTGTCGGAGTACGCATCCACTGAGATGAGCCTGCATGCCCTCTACATGCATCAGGTGAGCCAGCAGCCGGGGCTCCCACACTGAACAGAGAGGTTTTATAGGGGTTTTGATGCAAACCAGCAGAGCATGGTTTCCAGTCCCTTCTCTGCGGTCTGCCTGCCCTGTGCCCCCCCATTTGTGTCAACACTCTCTTAATGCCTGGATATCCTCTCTCGCCAAGTGTACTCCTGACCAGGGCCTCCACACCTGTGCCATCTTCCCTCTTGTGAGTCCTCTCTCCCTAAGCTAGCCAAATAACTTTGTCATCTTCATCCTCAGCTCTCTACTGTGACCTTTGCCCAGAAACTTCTCCTCTCACCTCCCTTGGCAATGGTCTCCCTTGCCCACCTGCCTGAATCCTCTTATTCTGGTTCTCACCAGCTGACATCATCTGACGTGCTGCCATTGCTCCCTCATTGAATTGTTTTTGGCCTGCCCCTCCTGTCCTGCCCTCAGCCACCAGCAACAGCCTATGAGCCCCACAGGGATCAGCCTGGTGGGCTCTCTTGGTCACTGTAACATTCCCAGCCCCAACAGTGCCTGGCACTTGGCCTTTGGCATGTTCTTGAGTCATGTGGGTAGATCAAATATGAGCCCCCCGCCACAGCCCTGCACACAAGTCTTTCCGGGGATCGGCTGAGCTTGTCACCCACAGTGAGTCACATCTGTGGCACACCAAGAACATCACAGGGATCTGGGTCAAAAGTTTCCAGGTGAGGCAGGATAGCAGTGGCAACTGGCTGACTCTAGGGCAGGGGGCATGAACATGTGTCTCAGACAAAGCTCCCATCTGCTTTTCTCCCACAGCTCCACAAGCAGCAGACTCAGGCCGAGCCTGAACGGCACGTGTGGCACCGCCGGGAGAGTGATGAGAGTGGGGAGAGTGCCCCCGAGGAAGGGGCAGAAGGGGCCCGGGCCCCCCAGCCCCTCCCCCGCTCAGCCAGCTACCCCTGTGCCACTCCCCGACCTGGGCCCCCTGAGACCACTGCCCTGCACGGGGGCTTCCAGAGGCGCTATGGAGGCATCACAGGTAGGCAGCATATCCGGAGGCAGGAACCTGCAGAGCAGGATGGAGGCCAGCCCCAACCCCGCAGCTCCTGCCACTCCTCACAAACCCTCCTCATGTCTGTTTTCTTTGTCTCTCTAGATCCTGGCACAGTACCCCGGGCTCCTTCCCACTTCTCTCGGCTGCCCCTTGGTGGCTGGGCTGAAGATGGGCAGTCAGCATCAAGGCACCCAGAGCCCGTGCCCGAGGAGGGCTCGGAGGACGAGCTTCCACCTCAAGTACACAAGGTAAGGTTTCTTGTGGGCCTGGGAAGAACTGCAAAGAACCATCAGAGTGGTGGCTCATGGGCTGAGCGGAGGCAGGTGCCCCCCCGCACAAACCCATCCTGGATATGCACAGTGCTCTCCCCTGCCATACACACACCCTATTCTTGCCTCCACAACGCTCCTGTCCCCTCCTTCGCTCACATCTATAGGAATCACTCTCTGTCTCCTGGATCTCTAGACTTCCATGGGCACAAAGGTAGCCAAGGCCCAATCTCCATGACCAACTGTTCTTTCTCTCCCCAGGTCTAGACGAAGCTGAGAAGGATACCCGTGCCCCAAGGATGGAGGCCACTGCCGCCCATCCGCGTGCCATGGGAGAGCCTTTGAGCATTGCCTGGCTCCACGTGTGTGGTGTGTGTGTGTGTCCGTGCCTGGCCAAGGGAGGAGGTGCCAATGGTGGACTTGCCACAACCCCAGCAGACAAACCTGGGGGCATGCAGGCCTCTCACCTCATCCCCAGAACCCCCTTGGCTCAGAGTGTGGTGCTAGAAAACCGGTCTCCAACCCAGCCCCAGGACTGCCAGTTTGGCACTGAGAGAAGCTGCCACGCTGGGAGAACCTGTGCCAACTGTGGAGTGGGGGGGGGGCCTGGGCCTGGACCCTTGACCCCTGTAGCCCGCCCTCTCCCCAGCCCCACCTTGAACAGATGAGCACCTGTGGCTGTGGCCCTTACCTCACCCAAGTTCTTGCCCAGTGCTACAGCCAGCTCACCTCTCTTCCACCCTGGCCCCCTGCGCGCATCACTGGCATGTGTGTGCTGTTTGCTCCTGTTCTGTTTGCTCTTGGCCCCCTCTGTTGGGGTGGAGGCCCTAGCTCCCAGCTTCCCATACCCCAATGCCATCATTTGACACTAAGAAGGAAGATTTCTGAATTGCCAGACCAGGATGGAAGCTTCTTACTGGCCTCTCCAACTTTTGAGGTCCGGTCCCTGGGAGACCCTGCCCCCACCCCTTCCATTGCTGCTTATTGGGCCCCCTCACCACCTGCAGGTGGGATGGACAGGGCTAGAGCATGACTTCGGCTGTCTACAACCCAGCAAGAAAAGCTGCAGCCTACTTCTGGCTGTCACCTAGCAGGGGAGAAGGGCGTTGCCCCGGGCTTGGGCTACCGCATTGCATGCTGGGACTCAACTCCTACCCCGTGAAGCACCCTACGCCCAGCCCTGGTGCACTGAGGGGACAGGAAACTGCAAACCGGGTGGGAACCGTGTACAGCTTGATGACCCTTAATAAAGAAGGGACTTTGACCAGGTTGCTGCTTTTTCTGTGTCAACTGAGCTAGGAACTGGGGAGGCAAGAGTGAGGATGTATATGAGTTCCTCCAGGTGCCTGGGGATGGAGACAAGAATCTAGAAGAAAGGAATACACCAGCCCTCGGGCGTAACCAGTGGCCAGCTAGTGAAGGACTCTTGACTTTGACCAGCTGCAACCTCGCCCCCACTGTGCCCAACTTCGGTGTAGGTGACTGTGTCCAGCCGCGCGGTTAGATTTCCCGCCCCAGCACGTGATCAGGCTGGTCCAGCCCCTCCAGCTTTCCTTCCTCACGTGCACGATTCTCCCGCCCCCTTTGGAGACATTTGGCCAATGGGAACCTTGAAGAGGGGCTGGGGGCGGGGCTGTTGCCGTAGAGGACAGTGAGATACTGAAGCCCGACATTCCTGCGGGGCCTGGATTCGGCAGGAGGGTCCCCTGTCTCGAGCGGCGTACGCGCCGTGCGTGAGTGCGTGGCGGCGGCGCGTGCGTGAAGAGAGTGGGCGGTGTGGCCGGGTCCACGTGCGTGCCTACTCGTGACCCTCCCTCCGAGCGTCTTAGGGCCCTGCGGATCCATGCCCCAAGGCACACTGGCGTCCAAACCCTTCTGCGAGCCGCTGGTGCCGGTGTCCCGTCCCGCAGTGCCCGCCGCCCGCTACGCTTGACCATGGTGACTGTAGGCAACTACTGCGGCGCCGAAGGGCCCGCGGGGCCGGCCTGGGAGCAGGGTGGCTTGAGTCCCTGCTTTTTCTTCACGCTGGTGCCCTCTACGCTGATGGCCCTTGCGATCCTCGCCTTGGTGCTAGCCCTTCCCTGCAAACGCCAGGAGCGGCCCTCAGGCACCGATGCACTGTCTTGGGGCGCCGGCCCTCGAGTGGCGCCTTACGTCGTACAGCTGCTTCTCGCCACGCTGCAAGTGGCGCTGCCCCTGGCCAGTCTTTTCGGCCGCGTGGGTACGGCCGAGGGGGCCCCACTGCCGGGCTACGTGCTGCTAGCCTCCGTACTGCAGAGTCTGACCAGCGCCTGTGGCCTGTGGCTGCTCGTGGCGGAGCGGAGCCAAGCCCGGCACAGTCTGGCGATGGGCATCTGGATCAAGTTCAGGCACAGCCCAGGGCTCCTGCTCCTCTGGTCTGTGGCGTTTGCCTCTGAGAACTTGGCACTGGTGTCCTGGAACAGCCCACAGTGGTGGTGGGCAAGGGAGAACTTGAGCCAGCAGGTGAGGGGCCTTGGACGGGATGGGGGGCGGTTGAGGGGAGGTCTTGAGGGCGGAGCTGGGGAAGCATGCTGCCTGCCTGTCTGCCTGTGGAGGCTCCCTCTTGGCGATTTCTCTGGGAAGAGGAAGAAGGGTGGGGCTAGCACTGATAGCCACTTGGTGGGGAGGGTGTGTGCTGAGTCACTGTAGGAGATGGTTTGTTTGTTTGGTTTTTTCCCTCTTCTCTAAGCCTTCTCTAGGAGCTGGGCCAGGAGGAGGACCTGGGTGTGTTGCCTCCTGGAGTCCTTGAGTCTGTGCAACAGGAAATCCTATCACAGGTCCACCTATGATAGCCTGCCCGTATTGTGTTCCCACCCTAGGTTCAGTTTGGCCTGTGGGTACTGCGGTATGTGGTGTCCGGAGGGCTGTTTGTCCTGGGGCTCTGGGCCCCCGGACTTCGTCCCCTGTCCTACACCTTGCAAGTTCAGGATGAGGACCAAGACGTGGAAAGGAGCCAGGTACTGCTCAGTTTCTGAATCCTGGACTCTTAATTGCATTGCCCATCATCCTGCCATCCCTCACTGTGATGCCTTCCTGCACCAAGCACCATGTGTATAACCTGTTAGTTTGGCTGCCTCCCACCAGGGGCTATTTTGTGGGGTGCTCAGAGTGTCGCAGAGGAGCCGCAGCACCCCCACGATCTTCCCTAGAGGGGTCCTGGCTGCTTACTGCACTTCTTTTGCATGCCTGAGCTCCCTTCCGTTCTGTGTTTTACCATCCCAGGCTCGGTCAGCAAGCCAGCAATCCACCTGGCGGGACCTCGGCAGGAAACTCCGCTTGTTGAGTGGCTACTTGTGGCCTCGAGGGAATCTGGCCCTGCAGCTGGTGGTGTTCATCTGCCTGGGACTCATGGGACTGGACCGGGCACTCAATGTGTTGGTCCCCATCTTCTATAGGGATATTGGTGAGGGGCATCCTGCAATGGTCCAGAGGCTGCAGCCACCTTTCCCTAGGGGGAGGTGGGATGGAGATGAGGGGCGGGGCGGGGCTGCCACTGTGGGTTCTTGTGTTCTCTGCAGTGAACTTGCTGACCAGCAAGGCCCCTTGGAGCTCCCTGACCTGGACCGTTACCACCTATGTTTTTCTCAAGTTCCTCCAGGGGGGTGGCACCGGCAGTACAGGTAGGCAGGCCCCAGCAGTCTCCCTGACTGGCCTTAGCCCCGTCACAGGCATCATCTTGACTGAGGGCTGGGCTCCTGGTGTCCAAGCCCTGCTTACTGAGGTCTCCCCTAACTCCCCACCCCTGCCACCCCCAGGCTTCGTGAGCAACCTACGCACCTTCCTGTGGATCCGTGTACAGCAGTTCACGTCGCGGCGAGTGGAGCTGCGCCTGTTCTCCCACCTGCATGAGCTCTCGCTACGCTGGCACCTGGGGCGCCGCACCGGGGAGGTGCTGCGCATTGTGGACCGGGGCACGTCCAGTGTCACGGGGCTGCTCAGGTGCCATGCCAAGGGCATGTGAGGGACACTGTCAGAGCAGCAGACAGACCTGGCTGGGGGCAGCTGCCCCCAGTCCTTGGTGACATTGCTTTAATTATGGGATTACTGCCCATCTGCTGCCATTGTAACTCAGATGCCACAGGCACTGAGAGAATCTTTCTTGAATTCATCTCACCCGAGCTGCCCACTCTACTTTGTATATAGAGTGGTACTTTTTTTGTTTTTTGTTTTTTTGTGGAATCTTTGTGATATCAGGACCAAATTATGCCCTGTCTTAGGAGTCAGCCCCAGAGTTGCCTGAGGAGTCAGCCATGGTGGGGAGAGGTTTTTACCCATGGGTAGGGAGTCCCTTCCTTTGTTACACTGGCTGCAAAAGCGAAGAAGTCTGTGTTTTATTTAGCCCTCTACTTTTGAGTGGCATTTGGGTTGATTCCAACTTGCTGCTTGTTCTTTACCAAAGATCAAACACCACACTGAAGTTTCCAAAGGGTGGGATAGCTGGGAGCTAAACCACATCCCCCACCCATATAAAAACCTTCTTGGTCTCTTACCCCCTTAGCTACCTGGTGTTCAACATCCTGCCCACGCTGGCTGACATCATTATTGGCATCATCTACTTCAGCACGTTCTTCAACGCCTGGTTTGGCCTCATTGTGTTCCTGTGCATGAGCCTATACCTCTGTGAGTTCTGGGGCCCTGGGGGCAGGCTTCACCCCACCTTGGGTAACCCACCTTTCAGAGGCTGCTGAGGGAGCTCATGTCAAGTTGGACCTTAGCTTAACCTGGATGGAAGACCAGGGCCGAGCATTCTGGTCCTTTGACGTCCCTGCTACAGATGAAGGTTGAGAAGAAACCGCGTTTGCCTAGCCAGATGTTGCTCCCCTGCAGCCAGGAGTATTCTGTGCATCGCAGGCTACCAAGGTTGTCTTGGCCATAGCCTGTTCTCTCAAGAGAGCTTAATAAAGCTCTGCCCCCAGGAATCTGGCTCCCTGGGCCCCTAGACGGGACAGGCAGTGGCAGGTAGTGAAACTTTACCTTAGTCTCCGTTGGGAATGCTGTCTTACCCTGCACCTCACCTCCTCCTTCCATTATTTTTTCAGTCCTGACCATTCTTGTCACTGAGTGGAGAGCCAAGTTTCGCCGCAGCATGAACACACAGGAAAATGCAACCCGCGCACGAGCGGTGGACTCACTACTCAACTTTGAGACGGTAATGGAGACCATGGGGCCACCGTGTACAGCGCACAGGTGGTAGGAGTGTGGCTTAGGCTGCCAGGCTAGGGGAACGTAGGTGATGCTTGTGTGTATGGCTTAAAATCCAGGAGTGGTTGGGGCTCTTGGTGCTGTGTGCTCCTGCCCCACCTCCTAGCCCAACACCGAGTTTGAATGCCTTAGGTGAAGTATTATAATGCTGAAAGCTACGAAGTGGGGCGCTACCAGGAAGCCATCATCAAGTACCAGGTAAGGGCACCAGTTGGAGGGAAAAGTAGGAGCTAGCGGGCCCGGTGGTGTTGCCTGCATTTGGGAACAGTGAGTATGTGTCTGACATTCCACCCTTTCTGTGTCCCGTCCCCAGGATTTAGAGTGGAAGTCCAATGCCTCGCTGGTCTTACTGAATCAGACCCAGAACCTGGTGATTGGACTCGGGCTGCTGGCGGGCTCCTTGTTGTGTGCATACTTTGTCAGTGAGGAGAAACTGCAGGTGAGGCAGAATTGTGGAGTAGGGGGCAGGTGGGTGAGCAGCAAAGAGGAGCCCAGTATCTCCAGGGTGGCAAGTGAGCAGGACTGTGGGAAGTGCAGGTTGCAGGTCTCCCTGTAGTGCCATCGGCTTCCCTGGATCTCCGCAGGTTGGAGACTTTGTGCTCTTTGGAACCTATATCATCCAGCTGTACATGCCCCTCAACTGGTTTGGCACCTATTACAGGTAACCTCCTCCCTCGGCCCTCACTTGTGTAGATGCATGGGAATAGCCTGGCTGCTCACACCTGCCCGCCTGCCCCTTTCTTGCAGGATGATCCAGACCAACTTCATTGACATGGAAAACATGTTCGACCTGCTAAAAGAGGAGCCTGAAGTAAGTGAAGGGAAAGGAAGGGTATGGGGGACTGTAGGAGATGTTTCCGGTGTCTGGAACATTCCAGGCCAGTAATTCCAGACCCCTACGTGGCCCCCTTCCAGGTGAAGGACCTTCCTGGAGCGGGACCCCTTCGCTTCCACAAGGGCCGAATTGAGTTTGAAAATGTGCATTTCAGCTACGCTGATGGGTAAACCCTCCCCCATTCCCAGCTCCAGCTGCCTGCTGCCTCTTCTGCTCCAGAATGCCTGCCGTTCCTATGCCCGCCCATGCCCAGCTGAGCACTTGGGCAGGAGAAGGGCAGAGTCCACCAGTGGCTCTGGTGACCACGCCCACCCTTCCTTGCAGGCGGGAGACCTTGCAGGATGTGTCCTTCACTGTGATGCCTGGACAGACCCTGGCCCTGGTGAGAAGAAACCCAACCACTTGGCGCCAGGCCCCACACACTTCCCTCATACAGTGTCTGTGACCATGCTGGCTCATAGCCCAGGCTGGCTAGTAGAGCCACAGCCCCAGCTAACAGACAGAAGGATTGAATGGACACTGGGCCAGGAAGGCTTTCATAGGAGAAGCCTTTGAAGCCCATGTGCCTGAGAATGTCCTCCTCTGCTTCCAATGCCAATGCCACAGGTGGGCCCATCTGGTGCAGGCAAAAGCACCATTCTGCGCCTGTTGTTCCGTTTCTATGACATCACATCTGGCTGCATCCGGATTGATGGGCAGGACATCTCACAGGTAGGGTTGCTAGGGATAAGACTAATTCAGGGGGTGTGGGTATGGCAGAATGGCAAAGGTGGAACATCCTGAGAGTAGCAGGAGTTGTCATCCCTACAAAAGTAGGGGGCATCTGCAGCTCTGTGGCACCCCCAGCCATATGAGCAGCATAGCCTTGAGAGAGATTTGTGCGTTGACACTCAAAGGGTGAGGATTTCCTGTAGCACTCAGCTAAAACATGTAGAGGAAGTATATTTTATGTCTCTCTCTCTTTTTTTAAGATTTATTTATCTGTTTGAAACAGTGGCAAATACACACAGAGAGATCTTCCATCCAGCTGTCCTAACATGGGTGCAGGGACCCAAGGACCAGGACCATCTCCCACTGCTTTCCCAGGTGCATTAGCAGGGAGCTGCCCTGGAAGCAGAGCAGCTGTGATGCCAACCGGCATGCCAATATAGAATGCCTGCATTGCAGGAGGTGGCTTAACTTGCTGTACATGTGGCCATGCCCTGCCAATTTTCTTTATGCAGATGCCAAAATAGAGCAGTTGATTGATTTGTGCCTGTGAGTTGGGATCCGCAGTAGTGTTAGCAGAGTCCTTCCCCCAGGGCCTGGCCTGCCATCCGGGCCTGAGGGGGCCTTACAGACACACATGATCTTTGGGTCCCAGGTGACCCAGAACTCTCTACGGTCGCACATCGGAGTTGTGCCCCAGGACACCGTCCTCTTTAACGACACCATTGCCAATAACATCCGCTACGGCCGCGTCACTGCTGACAGCAATGAGGTGGAGGCTGCTGCCCAGGCTGCAGGTATCCATGATGCCATCCTGGGATTCCCAGAAGGTGAGCTCCACTGCAGATACTACTTCCTTGCCTGTCTGGTCCCAGAAGCCCAGTTTGTCCCTCATGACTGAGGAAGGTGGGCACTGTCTACAGGGTACGAGACACAGGTGGGTGAGCGGGGCCTGAAGCTGAGCGGAGGTGAGAAGCAGCGTGTTGCCATCGCCCGCACCATCCTCAAGGCTCCGGATATCATCCTGCTAGATGAGGTAAGGCCTCAGCCTGCCTGCTCCCCACCCTCCCTCAGCCCATGGGTGCACCAAGCAATTCCCACTGGGCACCCATTGCCACCTATTGTCTCAAGGCTCAGCTGGCAGCCTACATCCTCCTTCCCCTGGCCAGGAGTTATCAAGGTGGGCACTGGTAGCTTCACCCAGGCCTTCTCTATAGGCAACATCAGCGCTGGATACATCCAATGAGAGGGCCATCCAGGCTTCTCTGGCCAAGGTCTGCGCCAACCGCACCACCATCGTGGTGGCCCACAGGTATGCGACTACAGGAAGGGGGCGGCTGGCAGTGGGTACCTGCACCCACAGGGTAACGGAACACCAATCTCCGACTCTGCAGGCTCTCAACTGTCATCCATGCTGACCAAATCCTCGTCATCAAGGACGGCTGCATCGTGGAGAGAGGACGGTAAGGGCACACAGGACAGAGTCTCTGAATGGCGGGCTGGGGGGTAGGGGCTCACCCTTGCCCCACTGCCAGCCATCTGCGGGTTGGTTCCAGGCCTCCCAGGCCAGGCTGCACACCTCCCTCCTTGCACAGGCATGAGGCTCTGCTGACCCAAGGCGGGGTGTATGCCAACATGTGGCAGCTGCAGCAGCAGGGACAAGAGAATGCCTCGGAAGACAGCAAGCCTGAGACCACGGCACAATGACAGAAGGGAGCCCCTTCTCTCCCAAAGGCTACCTCAGAGGGCAGCGTGATGCGCCCCTTTTGTCCAGGGTTATTTCATCTTGGTTTCAAGGTTTGCTGCAAGCATCAGCAAGAGATTGGGACCTTTCAGAAAAGCACTTTTGGGGGAAATAAAAGGTGTGGACTGTGTGAGGATGACTGGCTTTGTGATGGGAGCTGCTGAGGTGGGCTTCTACCTCGCAGCCAGGTGGACATTGTGCACGAGACTTCCATCTGGGATTGCAGGAGAGAAAGGTACATGACACTGGAATGCCACATTCTTTATTTGTTGCGGACTCTTCCCTGCCCGCTACACATGGGGGAAGCCTCAGGGTTAGGGGGATAACATTCAGTGGGGTGGGGGGTGCCCAGAGCAACACCTCTCAGCACCCACTGCCACCTCAACCAGGGAATGCTTCTTTGCACGCTGTCCATCCCCCCCACACCTCCAGAGAGCTGGCAGGGCCCTCCACAGGCTCAGCTGGACCAGCTCCTCCTCGTGCCCCCCAGGTGGAGGCCTCCACATCACTCTTGCTTCTCCGTGTGCTCCAGGCCGCTCTGGGCCTTGTCCTCTCTCTGTGGACCCTAGAGGTGTGAGGGTCACAGTCCTCCTCAGGCGAGCCTCCCTCCCCAAGCCCAAGGCCCTAGCACAGGCTGCAGTTGGATGGCTTCAAGCTGCGGCTCTGCGCCTGGAGCAGGGAGAAGGGAAGACAGGGGGCGCCGTCAAGGAGATAAGGGCACAGCCCTAGGTTTAGAGCTTAGTACGGGCTAGAGTCTTATGGCAGGTAACAGAGAACCCACTCCCCACCACCAGTCCCCGCCAGCACACTCATGCACACGTAGTTCATACTCTCTCATCTCAGGACCCTGTCTTCACTCCATGCTCGTACCTGCTGCTGCTGGTATTCAGCTTCGCTGGCTGACAGTGCTTGTGCTAGCGCCAAGTCTTCTTCCTCCTGAGAACTGGGGGGAGGGGATGACACATGAAACCCAAACTTCTGGTTCATGCTAAGCAGTGGTGCTGTGGGCGTAAGTGGTCTAACCCCACAGGGGCAGCCCCAGCCCATGCCCCACCCCTTGCACCAGGGAGCACTACTACCTGGGCACCTGGGGTTTGGCCTCTGCCAGGGACAAGGCCAAGGCCTGCTGTAAGGCTTCATCCTCGGTCTGCAAAGAGAAAAAGGAGACTAGTGAGCTCATGGTTCAGGCCCCATGGGGTTTTGCTTCCAGCCGTCCAATTTATGCTGCACTCACCAAGCCATTCTGCAAAGTGATCACTGGGGGAGGGACCGCCCTGGATGGAGACTGAGTCGTTGTAGCTCTAGGGCAAAAACAGTCTAAGAGGTTGAGGTCTCAGATGAGAAAGGGGTGGGCGAGGAAAGGAGACAGTGGGTAGGCCTACCTGCTGGGTGTAGAGGAAGGCAAGGTCCTGCTGGGGCTGGAGACGGCACTGGCAGCAGAAGCGGCCAGGCTCTGTGCTCTGGAGATGGCAGCCAGTCTGTAGGGAAAGAACAATCTTGGCACATACTGCCCCCACCAACACTGCTCCTACTAAGAACAGGCCTTCCCCAGGATGGGAAGGAAAGAGAGAGTGGTGCAATCTGGAAGCACCAATCTGCAAATCTAGAACCCACCCCACCTCCTCGGGGCTCCTGGGGACAGACAGGGTGGAAAGCTCCCAGTTCATCAAGACCCAGGTTGAGCCTGCTTCCAAAGGACAGAGCAGTCACCAAGGCAAACAGGGCTTGGTGGCCATTACCCCGCCCGGCTGGTCGGATGGCTCTGCCCGGAGCAGTCATGGTCCAGTGGGTGTCGGTGCTTGATGCAGAAATTACGACCACAGCGTTCACAGGTGAGTTTCATCATCTCGCGCTGCCGGCAGCCAGGCCGCTCGCATTTATTGGTGAAAATCTGAGAGGGAGACGGGAAGAGTGTGTCTGTTGAGAAACCAGGCGAGTAAGCAAAGTACAGGAGGCGGGCCTCCCAGGAGGTCGCGGAGCTCCTCCCTGAGACGACCTGCTCACCTTCCGTTTCTGCTGTGCTGGATCAGAGCGACAGTCCCTGTCAATGTGCTCCCCCACAGCGCGGTCTGGGGGCTCCCCTCTGGCCACAGGCACCGGGACATTACAGAGGGGGCACACGGGGACCTGAATATCCTACAAACAAGGGAGAAGAATCAGTCTGTGGGGGACCTTCTCCAAGGCCAATGATTCTCTTGTCTTACAAGAATCTGAGTTCCCCCAGCCCACCTCCCTGTAGGACATTGTGACCCTAGAAGGTCAGCAAGCACAGGATTACAATTGATTGGATAACCTTTGCATGAGAATAACCGAATAGATACCTTTTGTATAACTCGTTGGATATCATTTGTATGGGAACAGCTGAGTGGACAGCATGTGTATGAGAACACTTGGTGGAATATACAAGACAAAGGAGTTCCAAGCAAAAGTATAGAAACTGGGTTTTGTTGATAAGCTCAATACCTCCTCCCTTAACCCATATGACCCTCAGTGCATAAAGTCTGATGCCACTAATAAACTGCTTTGACCAGTCAGAGTCCACCCGTGTCATTATCAGCTCCGTGCACCAAGTCCATCGCTGCAGGACAGCGACACCACCCGACACACACCCCAAATGCACAAGAAAACACAAATGTTCCCCAGCACTAAGTGAGTCCCGGAAAAGAAAGGTGTGATGAGGACAAGCAAAGCAGACAGACGGGGTAGGGTGGGACTTCTGGGTTCAGGCTCCCTCCGCCCTCCAACATACAAACACACCTTCTGGTAAGCGGAGCCACAGTGGTGCTGGGCGTAGGCCACATGGTCTGCACAGAAGATGCCTGAGCAGGCATCACACTTGAGCGGCAGGAAATCTGCAGGCAATGGAGTCAGACTGCACAACTCAGAGGCACCTCAGCGTCCTTCCCTCTCAGGGGACAGGAAAAGCCACCCGGTTGCCAACTCCACATCCCGCACTACTCCCCAATCGATCTCCTTAACCACGCCCCTCCGGCCGCGAGCCCCGCCCTTTTTCTGGTACTTCCAAATACTCCACTCGTCTCCCCTGGAGCCCACTGTCCAAGCCCCACCTGCAGTTCCAAGCCCTCTCCTCGTTCGGCCCTGCCCCTTACCCAAGCGCTGACAGCTTGGCTCGGAACAGTGAGCCCCGAGGTCCGGAAACTCCATTGCCGGGCCCGGCGGGGCCTGCAGGAAGAAGCAGCGAGCGCTGAGCGTGTCTAGGGCTCCCCCGTTCCGGTCCGACCGTGACTCGGCGCTCTGAGGGGCGCCCCGCCCCGCCCAGCCCGGGTTACCGGAGTCCTCAAGCACCTGCCGGCCCCGCGGCTCCCACTCCTCCCTCGGCGCCGGCGCGGGCGCGCTGACGTCACCACGCAGGGCGGGCGCATCCTGCGCAGTCTCCGGGCAGCGGGGGGCGCGGCTCTGTCTCCTCCCGGCTCGGCCCAGGAGCGGGCTTAGCCTGCCAAACGGTCTCTAATACGTAAGTGTGGAGCGGAAAGGCGGCCAAGGCCGGGGGAGGTGATGTCTTGGAGTTGGGGCGCTGAGGGTGGCTGGAGTCTCCCAATTCGCGCTTTGGCTCCTCTCTCTGCACCCTCTCCTGGCCGGATGTGTTTACTTTCTAGGAGTTGACAACTCCCTTTGTTTCTCGGTAATGCAAGTGTGTCTCCGGAGTTTCAGCTCCCTCGCAGGTTCCAGCTTTGATGCGCTTCCTGTAAGACTTCCTGACTCTCCTAAGTCTAGAGTAGGTGCACTTGATATGCGACCTCCCTACCACTGTTCCAGCAGCTCGCATTTTCACACCTGGCTGTACTCTGACACATGCACACAGACATAAATATACTTGACAGGCTGTTACCACATCTACCGCCTCTGTCGAATCCCAGCACCTGAGGGTGCCTAGAATAGTGTTGTTCTCAGACTCCGGTGTGAATGTAGGTCACCTACAGGCTTTGCTTAAAATGCAGATTCCTGAGCTCTAGGACTCCGGGGGCAGGGTGGGGAGGGGTAGTTAGAATTTAAACAAGTTGCCCATATAACATATTATGACAAAACAAACAATAAATAGACAACTAACCGAAATATTTTCAGTACATGTTGTTTCTCAGATTAGCCCTTGTAAAAGGGAGAGTTTTTCTTAGAAGGCTTGGGGTAGGCTTCGGACATGACCCTACATTCACCCTGTATGTGCTGGCAGGCCTCTTCTCCTTCAGGCACCTGGCCAGTGCCAGGAGGAGAACAAAGTCTGCATGTTTTGAGAAAAAGATAAGACACGGGTGCACATCCTTGCCCAGCTCCTTGGCCCGGACCCGGGCGAGGTCACGCCGCCAGCTGAGGTATGTAAACTTTGGGCATTAAGCCACCTTTGTCGGAATTAGCCTAAAATCCCCCCAGCCGCGCAGTGAGAGAGTTCTCTCTCCTCTCTCCCGGGAGGCTGTTGCGGTTGCAGAGAAAGACTGAAACGACCCCGTGATGTCGAAGGGGATGATGTGCTGAGTTCTCCCCTTCACCCCGGTGGTGTATGGTACGTTGGAGAACCTTTGCTCTTGCTTTTCTACATTTACTTTTTGCCATTCTTTTGTGCTTGATGTTTAATAAACATTTAACTTTGTATGTACTGGAACGGCTCGTGGACGTTTCTGCTCTAACGAATCCGACCCTCGAAACATTAAAGACCGTGCACGGCTACAGCCAAAATTATATTGCTGGGACAGCCCTGAGAACCCAGCTTTGCCCAAGTAGCTCTGGGGGCGGGGGAGGCCTTCCAGGCGCAGCACATTTTAGTGCTCCTGTGTCTCAGACCCCTCATGCCCAGAGTTGGTCACACTCCATCTTCATATGAGTCTGGTGATGGGATCAGATGAAACAGGTGAACTGTGTTTAGGGAGTTAAACAGTGTCCTCCAAAATGGAGAGGAAGCCAGACCACAGTGGGCAAGGGGAGCCAGTCTCCCCCTGTCTTTCTGTCTCTTCCTCCATCTCCAACTTCTGACTCTTTGCCCCTATGCTGAGTTGACTTCTTCCCCCCTCACAATTCTGAAATCTGTTGCTCTTGGCTCCTCAAGTAGAGGCCCCCCTCCAGCCTGTCCAGGGTCATGGCTAAGCCCCCCTGGGTCTTCCTGGTGCCTGATGCAGCTGGGTGCGAGGTGGCTGAGTGACAGAAGCTTGAGGAGAAGCCCTAAGACGCACAGGCCAGCACCTGGTGTTGGAGATAAGAGGCCTGCAGGGGTAGCTGAGGTCAGGGATGAGCCTGGCAGATGTGGTGCAGGGCACCAGGCGGAACCCGCTGTACTTGCCTGATCATATTCTTTCCTGGGAGTGAAAACAGCTGAGCTGATAATGTATGCACTACAGAATGGCCACCAGCCTCCCTGACCTCCTCTCGGTGGGGACATCCTGGTGGTTCTTTTCAGTATTCTCACTGAGAGAACACACACAGTATGCTCCATAGAAAGAGACTGACGGTAAGAACTTGGCAAAGGGCACCACTTACGATGCTCTGTTTTCAGACCCAAGTGCTTCGGTTTATCTTGGCTCTGCTTCCCAAGCAGCTTCCTGCTAATGCAGATCCTGGCAAGCAGCAGGTGACAACTCAAATATTTATGTCCCTGCCACCCCTGTGGGAAGTGAACCAGCCAACGGAAGACCTCTCTCTCTCTTTCAAAAAAAAAAAAAGAGAGAGAGAGATGCTAATCTTGTATCAGATTTAAGCCATAAAAGTGTTTTATTTTCTTCCAGAATCTGTAATTCCAAGGAAAACTCTTATCATTTAAGGGAACTACAAACCATTCCTTGGGATTTGGCACATTGTTGTAGGTTTGTCAAACTCTCTGGTTACCACCTAAACTCAAGCTAGTAATATGCGGTGGCTTTCTTTTGGCATGCTATAAGGGTCTTTGTCAAGGGGATTCACCTTTTGACACAGTCCCCTTTAGAAAGGTCAAGCATTGACAAGTTTATCCATCATGAACCCTGAGACACCGTTACCTATGAAACCAGCACTAGTTCTGTTCACTTGGGACACATGAAATTGCTACCAGTTGACCATTTTTTTTAATAAAAGCAGCATTTTCATACAGCTTAATCTAATCTGAACAGCACATGTCACTGGCAAGAATTATTTTTCTCTGACCATTTTCTGCCTGATTCCTAGCCTGTTGGGTTTTGGATCCCAGATGCAAAGATAAACACATCTTGTGTGGGAGTAGAGTTTAAAGTCCATATACCTAAAAGTCAGATTGCCAATGTTCACCTATATTAGTCCTTTAAACACTTGCCATTTTCTTTTTAAAATATTTATGCATTTATTTATTTATGTTTATTGGAAAGTCAGATATACAGAGAGGAGGAGAGACAGAGAGGAAGATCTTCCATCCGATGATGATTCACTCCCTAAGTGGCTGCAGTGGCTAGAACTCAGGAGCCAGAAGCTTCTTCTGGGTCACCAATGCCAGTGCAAGGCCACAATACTTTGGGCCATCCTCGACTGCTTTCCCAAGCAGGGAGCTGGATGGGAAGCAGGTTTGCCGGGATACAAACCAGTGCCCATATGGGATCCTGGCGAGTGTAAGACGAGGACTTTAGTTACTAGACTACTACACTGGGCCCTATTTAATAGTTATTTTTAACTTTTATTTGAAAGGCAGATTTTTACAGAGAGAAGGAGAGACAGGGGAAGAGGTCTTTCTTTTGCTAGCTCACTCCCCAAATGGCCACAACAGCTCTAACTAAGGCAATCTGAAGCCAGGAACTTCTTCCGGGCTTCCTAAGTGGGTGCAGAGGTTCAAGGACTTGAGCCATCCTCTGCTGCTTTCTAGGCCACAGGTGAGGAGCTAGATTGGAAGTGGAGCAACTAGGATTGGAACTAGCATCCATATGGAATGATGGCATGGCAGTCACTGAACTAGCCTGCTATGCTATTGCACCAACCCTAATTTTCTACCAGTGAGGTACAAAAGTGTATCAGATACATTATGCTTTAACTCAAAATAGCAGTGACATAGCATAAAATAATCAGATGCCTACATGCAATAACCCAGGACTGATAGGACAGGGAACCTCTGCCATCCCTAAGGTGTTGCCTTTACCCATGTGGATTTAAATGAGTGTATGTTTCAGGCAGTGGAACATGGAAAGGAAAAACAGGGCATGTTGTGTTAGAAGGCATGAACCTGAATGTGCAGCCAGGGCTATGGGACAAATTACAGTAGCTGACCCTTAGTCACATGATCATACCTAGTTCCAGAAAAACTGGGAAATATAGTCTTTTTTTTAAAGATTTATTTTTATTTTTATTGGAAAGCCAACGGCTGGTGCAAAGCACATTCGAAGCCAGGAGCCAGCAGGGTTCCAAGGCTTTGGGCCTTCCTAGACTGCTTTCCAGGCCACAAGCAGGGATTTGGATGGGAAGCAGGGCCTCCGGGATTAGAACCGGCAACCATATGGGTGCATGCAAGGCGAGGACTTTAACCACTACATTATTGCACCACACCCGGAAATATAGTCCTTAACTGGGTGACCATGTATACACAAAAAACTTTCAGTTATGCCAGCTAAGGTATCTAGGAGATAACTAGTTTTCTATTGAAGCTCATGTTGGTTACTCATCCCAACTTCGTCCTTGAGCTAATGTCCTGATGGCATTTATTCAACCTTCTCCAGTTAGGTTTTGCATCAGTCTCTCAGTAGCTGCCAGGGTTCATTCCTGTTCAATTTTTATTTTACTATTACCCATATTAGAAACTGTGTTTTATATCCAACATACACAGAAGGACAAAATTGATTTTTTTTTTTTGCTTTGTTTGATACACACTGAAAATCTATTCCAATCTATTTCACTGTTTCTCAAACGTTGGTTACCACAAACTGTTGACTTCCCAGCCCAGGATCCCAAAAAAACACACACTGCTGTAAGTCAAGTACCCTCAGTCTCCTAAATTAAGACATATTGCACAATCTATGCATAAAATTAAAATTCATGCCAAACCTTAAAGATGACGAAATGGGGGCCTGTCTCAATAGCCTAGTGACTGAATCTTTACCTGGTTCATATCCTGGCTGCTCCACTTTCCATCCAGCTCCCTGTTTGTGCTTTGAGAAAGCAGTAGACAACAGCCCAAAGATCATGCACACACATGGGAGACCCAGAAGACACTGCCCACTTGGGGAGTAAACAGGCAGATGAAAGATCTTTCTCCCTGTAAATCTACCTTTCAATCAAAATAAATAAATCTTTGTTAAAAAGTGATGAATGGGGGCCCAGCGTGATGGCCCAGTGGTTAAGGTCCTCGCCTTGCATGCCCGGGATCCCATATGGGCACC